AAACCGCTGTCACCATTTATAAAGGGGGCAGATTTCTTACTAGTCTTTTCTTATTAATTTATCCTCCTGCTGTTAACATTTAAACTCTTCAAACTATTTTTATCTCAATTTCTTACCTCATTCATTTTCTCATTAGTTCTGTCATAGTTATTTTATTTCATAGTTACTTCATAACCTCTGACCTTTGGTAGCATGACATGGGTTAGGACACATGGGTTACTGTAATTCTGGTATCAAGCTATGGGCAAGAATAAAGGTAGATACCGAGGGAAAATGATACGCCTAACATACTCTAAAAATGGTGTATTGATATGAAATTAAATTTGGTTAAAGGTGTCATTAACATACAACTACAAGGATCAACTCTTTGGCTTGAAGATGGTAGTTTGGCAGATTCTGACCTTAGAGGCATTGAGGTTTCTTTTCCTTGGTGTTCACAAAACACGACGCGAACAATCTTCCTGCGTTTGAGGACAGATGGTTTGACACAACACTGACCCACATGGTGTTCTCAGAAGAGGTGTAAGAAATAAATTGTCAAAGCTAAAGGTTCATAATAGACCCTGCCCTGACATGGTGCATCCCAGAGAGTTGTGCAATGAGCTTGCTGAGCCCCAGAAGACCCTGTTACGTAAATGACTGGATGAGCAAAAGGTCCCCAGTGATTTGAAAATGGCTTATGTGAGTCCTATCTTCAGGAAGGGCGATCGTCACTCTACGAATGATTATAGACCAGTGAGCCTGACCAGCATAGTGTGTAAAGTACTTGAGAGATGCCATGATGGAACATCTACTACGAAACAACCTTGTAAAGGATTGCCAACACGGTTTTATGCCGGGACGCTCCTGCCTAACACAATTATTCAAGGTACTGAATGTTTGGACCCAAATTCTGGAGCAGGGAGGTAATATCGACAATACCTATATTTTACCATGGCTTTTGACAGCCTACCTTAGGAAAGGCTGAAAATTAAACTGGAAGGGTACGGGATTCGGGGAAGTGTCCTAGTGTAGATCGCAGACTTTCTGCATGATCGCAAGCAGTGTGTGGTGATTAATGGTACGAGTAATTTTACCCATGACAAGAGGGATACCATAGGGCAGTGTACTGGGCCCGCTGTTGTTTGTGTGTTTCATAAATGGCATGCCAGAAGCTATACACTCATCCATACAAATGTTTGCGATGCCAAGTTATTTCTGGAAATTAAGAACCAAACAGACTACGCAGAGCTGCAGAAAGATGCTCCTGGGTCGCACCAACTTAAGACGCATCATATGTCCCAACAGGACGTAGAAACTGCATTAATAGAGGCCAAATGCGAAAAGGACCTGGGTGTGTATGTTGACAATGAAATGAAGTTCTCTGGCCACTTTGAGAAGAAGGTGAATCAAGCAACAAAACTAGTAGGTCTAAAAAGAAGTTCAGATATCTAGACGGTTCATCCTTCGCAGCGATCTTCAAGAGTGAAGTGCTTCCCCGCCTGGAGTACTGTCATCCCGTCTGGTCCCCGAGATATGCTGGGAACTGTCAATTCGGCACCTCAGCTATCCAGAGAGATTAGAGCGCCTGCAACTGCCTAGCTTATACGACAGATGGGCAAGGGGTGATCTAATTGAGGTGTACAAACATCTCAAAGGACACTACTCAGTCAAGTGTCCATACATGGAGCTGGCGGACGCTCGCCCCACAAGGGGTCACAGCTCAAGGTTGAAGAAGCCATAAGTCCAGAGGACTCTGAGGGCAAACTTTTTCGGAGTGAGAATTGGGAACTCTTGGAACCTGCCAGAGTCGTGATGGCACCGAGTGTGAGCTGTTTCAAGACCAGACTTGACCAACACTGGAGCAGGTTCAGATACATTCAGGAGCCAGTGCATGCCCAGTACTTGCCAACAGTGCGTAACAGACGTGACCGACTGCCCAAGCGGCTAACGAGCCGATCAGTGGCGAAGAGGATAAAAGTAAATTAATATGCTGTATGACGCATTAGTGTTCGAGAACTTGCATTTTTTGCAGCTTGTACACCGTTGTCTATAGGCATGCTGAACTGCATACTCGCATTGTCTATATACATGCTGAGCCAAATGTAAACGTAAATGACGATTTTATTGAATCTATATCTATATGTCTATCTATCTAAGATTCTCTGATGTGATACCTAATATTCTTGAATACACGAATACCAAGTTAACAAAACTCAACAGGGCGAGTAACTGTATCGGAGCTCTGGCGATATTGTTCCTCCTCACTTCTCTCTGGTAATTTATCTACTAGGGTAAGAAGACGAAGAGTCTACTGGGGTATAGGGAGAAGTCTACCGGGGAACAGGAGGGACTGTGGTATAGGGAGGAGTCTACCGGGGAACGGGAGGGCGGAGGTGGAGACATCTGGTAAATGCGTGAATTTCAACAGGGTAAGACTGATGGTGTCACAAGGATGATGCGGAGAGCTATGACAGAAGCAAGCTAGTGTTGAAGTTGGTTCTACGCTGATGTTGATGTTCCACCCAAGAACCTTGGCTCCACTCTGATGTTCATAATTCCCCGCTGATGTTGGTGTTTCACATTGATTTTAGTGTTTCACGTTGATGTTGGTGTTTCACATTGATGTTAGTGTTTCACGTTGATGTTAGTGTTTCACGTTGATGTTGGTGTTCCATGTTGATGTTCTACACTGGGTTGCTGGTGCTGATGTTGGTGCACCACGTTGATGACAATGATAGTGCTACTCGCTCTCTCACACGCTTTCTCCATTGTAGTCCATCCTCATTGCCTACTTTCTCTCGTCGTCACTGAGGGAATTTACACACAAACCCCCAACAAAAACCACAAAAGCAATTATAATAAAAACAATCGGCCCATTAAATATAAAATACTGATTATATAGAAATAACCATAATAATATAAATGTTGAAAGCACAAAATAGTTAAGTGCCATTTTGCTCATGCTGTACTAAAAATGATCTACCTTAACCGAGCCTTTGTAAACTATCCTAACCGAGCCTTTGCAAACTATCCTAAACGAGCCTCTACAAACTATCCTAACCCATCGTTTGCAAACTAACATGATCAAACCTGAACGGAATTGTAGTTATGAAAAAAAAAAACCCCTGGACGCTTGACTATATCTGGCATCTACAAGCAGGATATAATGTAAGCTATACACGCATGTGATTTAATTTATAACTTGTCACTGCTGTTCTGCATATAGGTGACGTCAATAATGCACCATGGACAAGAAAACAACTCCTCTTTAGTAAGTTGATTCTGAAATTACAACATCCCTGACACAACATGACCCTGACGTAGATATCATATTCTGTTAAAAGTGTAGTGGGTTTACATTTTTTTTAGCTACTATACTGTTGTGAGGTGATGGTGTAAATTTGTACAGTCGGCGTCCACTTTTCTACTTATAAAAGTGTTTACCGTCTTAGATAGTGTGGCCATCAAGTAATCTCATTGGAGTCATTGTACTGTACACCACTTAGGCGAACGGTATATACACACTTCAGTATTAGGGGCAGGTGGGAGAGATTGAGGATGTGGTAAGGTCATACACACACACACACACACACATCAAAACTCACGCCCATGCACACTAACATACTCGTACACACACACACACACGAAAGATCAATGGTGTTGTCAGATAAGTCGCCTACTAGTTCTTGCGAGGAAGTCAACCATTCACCCACTTCTATACCTGAGATACGTTCAATCCGGAAACTCGAAAGCCTTTCACGACGGTGACGTAAGAACGCCAACTCGTACTTTAATTTACGACGAAAACAAGAAGAAAAAAGGAGACTACGGCCACTAAGATATGCCGTCGAAATTTGCACCAAGACACTTTCGTTTGATGAAGTGCGTTCTTTTGATCTCCCGAGTTAATTAACAGGGGAAGAGGGAGGGTGTGGAGAACGTGGAGGTGGGAAAGGGGGAGGAGACAGGGAAGGGGGGAGGAGACAGGAGAGGGGGAAGGAACCGGGAGGAGACAGGGAAGGGAGAAAGGATGAAGAGGTGAGGGAGTGAACGTTAGAGATTTGGTCAATTTGGGTACTTGTATTATCGCAGTGATTCATAAGGTGATGTTTCTTGCCGGACTTCCGACGAAACATCAATATCAGCAGCAATAGTAATAGCAATAACAGTAGCAGGAGCAACAGTAGTAGCAGCAGCAACAGTAGCAGCAATAACAGTAGCAATGACACTATCAGCAATACAAGTAGGAGTAACAGTAGCAGCAATAACAGTAGCAGGAACAACAGTAGCAGCAATAACAGTAGCAAGAGCAACAGTAGCAGCAATAACAATAGCTGCAGCAACAGTAGCAGCAATAACAATAGCTGCAGCAACAGTAGCAGCAATAACAATAGCAGCAGAAATAGTAGCAGGAAATTTTAAACATGGTGGAAGCAGCAGGTGTGAGGTTGGCAGCAGTAGTGACGAGGGGGGGCCTAGTGTTGACACCTGTAACACGAGGGGCGTGTCTGGCACCACCACCAACTATCAGCGGCACGCGAGGCTAGCAGCAGCAGGGTACAGCAGAGATGAGACAGCGGCAGCAAGAACAACAAGGGGTGACAGTAGCAGCAAGTTAAAGGAAGGGCGAAAGTGACACAAGTAACAGCAAAATACAGCACGGACGAGTATTATGACGGTAACAACATTGTACAAAAAGGGTTGAGATGGCAGCGGTGACTACAGGGTACAGAAGAGTGGTGGCGATGGTAATGGCAGGGTGTAGCAGTGGTGAGGGTGATAGCAGCAACAACACGATATAACAGAGGCAAGACTGTAGCAGGATAGAGAAGAAACGGGATTATGGTAAGGTACAGGAGTGGTATGGTAGCAATAATAGCAGAGTACAACAGGTAACAGTAGGGTGGAAGTAGTAGCAGCTAAAACAGTAGCGGAGGTGTGACTAACAGCAGCAGCAGGGCATAGCGGGGGCGGGGCTGGCAGCAACAACGGCACCAGGAGGAGGAGGAGGAGAGCTAGGGGCGGCAGTGTGGCGGCTGGGGCGGGCCTGCCAGCATGTGGTGGAGCACTCCCAGCTCGCACCCGCCTACCACTGCCGCCCACGTGCTCCCTTTCTCTCCCACACACGCACTCACACACACCACACCCACACACAGCTCCCCTAGTGATCGCAGTTATAGTGATTCTGCGTTACGTCTTCACCAGCACCACTCACAAAAACTGTACCAGTGGCATATACTGAAGAAGGTTGAAACCGAGGCCTTCACTGCCCAGGCTATGTAAACATGGACACTAACATTACATAACGCAGACTTTCAAGGCTGATCACTGCGAACAACGGTAATCATTAATGAAGTAACCAGCTTTCGGTGCACCAGTAACATACATCCTGTTATGAAGGCAAGGTTTTAAGGTGGCGAGGAGGTTGACAGTACTGTAGTGCCAACCAGAGTGCCAGGCAGGTGCCAGTGAATGCCTGTGGTGTAAAGACCCGGACTCTACCCTGCCCCCCTCCTACTTAGGGACGAACGGCACGCCAGGTAAGAATAACTAACGTGTTTTATGCATGTTGCTTAAGGTCACACACAGGTCACTCTTGCAAACATTATTTACTTCCGTATCAACACGTCACAAAAACTGTAACTATAGCATTCAAACAGAGGTATACAAACATTCCAGACATAACACACATACACACACCCACACTATTGGGGCAGATATTATCAATTTTAGAAAAGAAAAACAAGTGATAGACTACTAGAAAACATAGATGAATTGAGGTTATTATCACCAATTAAGAAATATAAGCCAGTAACTTGTGTTGCTGGCCTGGTAAAGTGTCAGAGTCGGGTTACTGCCACTTAAGCTGATTATTTATATGAGAGCCTTTAATAATAGCTGTACGACCACGAACGGATCAATACGACAACGTAAACACAAACGTGCACGGTCATGCAACGTTTTGTATGCGTTCTGACGAACACAGATCGACACCACGGTCTGGCCACATATGCAAATGCATACATGGCCATCCCACGGAAACTGCTTGTCCCCACCATGTACGGTGTACGTGTCTTGATGCACGATGGTAAACTTATACTGTACATTATTTTTCAGGGCGTGTACGTGTCCTGGCTTACGTAAGCAAACAAGTAAACGACCGTGCCACGACCGGTTAGTGTCTTAGTGTACAGTACTGTGCATACCTAAAGCTCCTTTGAGACCAAACCTCACCCTTCCCAGTGTGTGTGTGTGTGTGTTTCAGAGCACACAAGTTCACTTCCAGCGTTATGTACAGTCGCCGACAAAATACCCCCGATACGTCTGGTAGTATCTGAGACAACATAGACATATACATAAAGGCCAAAAATCCTGCATATATAAGTAACACTTTGGTGTGCCTTGCTTTATACAACACGGGGTAGGAGAAGGAAACTTTGTGACATGATCTGAATGTCTGTACGAGTACAGTAGTGCTACCAGACGTGTCCAGAGTATTTTGTCGGTAACTGTACGTATACATTATATCGATTCATACACTCTTGCCAGACACTCTTGAATGTGTGCGTGTGTGTGTGTGTGCGCGCGTGTGTATGAACGTTCCCCGCATAAACACACTTTCGAAATTCTTCATTCATTGCTCTGATATTCTGACGTGTGCATCTTATCACTGAAATTCCTACACACACATATTTTCAGCCATTGGGCTACAGAACTTGTTCAATAAACCGTTAATTATTAATATCATTATTACACACGTACGTTTTTGGGGAGAGTATGGACTCCGTAAACCACTAGTAAGGTACAATCTCACCTAACCTAACCTATCGCTGACTTAATTTAACCTAATCTGACGTTAATCTAACTTACTCAAATCAAACCTACCCTCACCTAATCTAACCTATGTGATCAAACCTAAACTAACCTCCCCCCACAGGCCGGATAGCGTTCGGGTGTTTAATCATGTGGACAGTGCCGGACTTAGACCTGTGGAGGCCCCGCCCCCCTCATTATAACTACCCAATAGGGTGGGGTGGCGAGTGAAGCGAGCCTAAACATCTGGGAGTTCCGGGGGGCGCTGTAAGCCCCCCGGTTAAATTTTGAAATTTGAACACTTCTTTGGAGAATTTTGAAGCCATATGCAGTTATATTGAAGAAATTAGAACATTGAGAAAATTTTAATTAACTGTATATTTATTGATAGTGTACAAATTCCCAACACACACATACACACAAAAGTGAGACATGACTGGAGTCATTCATGTGGTTTCAAGTCGACCAGCCCTGATATAGCTACTACCGCACATGTGGAGGCCCCCAGATTGTGGAGGCCCCTGGGCAGCTGCCCACTTTGCCCACTCCTGAATCCGGCCCTGCATGTGGATGAAAAAATAAGCAGTGGTGTCTAATCTTCGCTGTAGTTAGTAAACCTCGACAGCGCCTCCCTCAGCTTGTACAAACGCCAGGACAGAGAGGAGACATCTTCATTCAGCAGGGTGTTGAGGAATTCACCAGCCAACACTGACCTAACACAAAGCACCCACACCTTCTTCTCCTCCCTCCCTCCCGCTGGTGTTGATTGCCAGAAGCACCTGCTGCGGAGACTCACCTGTTTCCCTTGTCTGTACCACTTGATGTCTTGCTTAGGAAGGGAAAGAGAGAGAGAGAGATGGGGAGAAAGAGAGACATGAGGAGAAAGAGAGGGAGAGAGAGAGAGGTAAGGAGAGACATAAATAGGAAGAAAAAGAGATAGGCAGAGAGATGGAGAGATAGAGAGAAATAATGATAAGAGGATAGCGTAAGAAAGATAAGGAGAGAGATAGGGAGGAAGAGAGAAAAATAGTGAGAGAGAGAGAGAGAGAGAGAGAGAGAGAGAGAGAGAACGAAAAGAGAAGCCGATGTAAAGTGTGCCAAATAATGGGAGAAGTGGCGTAACTGTGAAGATCAATACAGAGCGGATCCACAGCACGGCCCCAGAAAGCACTACCATGGCCGGCCTCTCGATTGACAAAGAAACCCGTCAGATCTCAGCAGCATTTTAGTACAAACCTATATAAACACGTCTTACAACACCTACAAAAAAGGGAGATCGATCACAAAAGAAACACCGGGGTCACAATTGCATGAAACAACGCCTCCCAAAACATCCACTCCCACAACAAAAAGCGTCTCGGTGGTGGATTCACGAAGAGGCAAAAGACCACCAAGTCGTCATGAGGAGCAGTTCATATACACTGTAGATCCCCGGTGAAAATAACAACTATAAAAATATATCCCTGGATCAACCACAATCCCTGGAAGGATCATGTTGGGTTTTTTCGTATGTGTGGGAGAGGGAGAGGGAAGGGAACAAGAAAAGTTAAGAATGGTGACACAGAGAAAGAAAGAAAGAAAGAGAGAGAGAGAGAGGACGAAGCTTCAAAACAAAGACAGAGGCCAAACCCCCAGCTGGCATTAAGACAAACAAACACAGACGGGAGGCTCATCATTTGTATGTGTGTGTGTGTGTGTGTGTGTGTGTGTGTGTGCGTGTGTGTGTGCGTGTGTGTGCGTTGTGTGTGCAAATATGAAACTGTCTGTGTTGTGTGCAGGTAGTTCTAGGCCTGTGCTTGTCTGTTGTGTGCGTTTGTGAGGTAACTTTGTGCGTTTAATTCTGTTTGTGAGATGTGTGTTTGTAATTGTCTTTGTATATTGTTCCGTTTGTTTGTATGTGTGTTGTCATGAACAGGTGTGTGTGTGTGTGTGTGTATGTGTGTGTATTGGTTATATAATCAGTACAGCAGGGACTTTGTCAGGATTCCCAGAGATTCGTACAAAAACGTTACATAAACTTCCTCCACTGATATAAGAAGATCGCATCTTAATTATAATATCCCTTAATTACTAATATTAGAACTACAGTATCTATTGCAGCCTAAATAAAGTTAAAAATTATGCTGGAATTCCCCCATACCTCCCTAGAATGTACAGGTCCTTTCGTACTCAAAGTCAGGGGAAATTTTTGAATGCAAACAGCCTTTGAAAATCCGGGAGGATAAAAGCCGATGACACAGGTGGCCAACAAGGTGGTGACGATGGATCCGTGTTCTCCAAAGTGCGTACTGTGCGTAATATTTTCGCAATAATTTAGGATCAAGAGAATGCGTATATAGTCAAGGTTGTGTTTCAGACTAATGATTTTGTTGGGCTATTGTTGGTTAATCGTCTTATTGTCTATCACTTTTTGTGCACGAGTACTACATTGTTTGTATATACCTGCACTGTCTATGTATACTGAATAAATATGAATATGTATGACAACTTTCGTGAATAAATAATAATTTATATTTAGCAGTTAACAGTACCCGGGCTTACTTCCTCTCCATCCCTCTATAAAACTGTGGTGGAAATGACGCTACAAAATAATTCGCGACTCCTGGCTATAATGGCGTTCTTCTGGCCAAAGCATGAGCCAATACACCTGTTGAATATTACTATGAGGGAGAAATTAAATAATTGCGGTAGTATTGACTTAGTAAATTATATCATCTTTGGTTCAGTGAAACGAACTTGTGTGTGTGTGACATGATATTACGATGACCAGACGGAATTGAGAGGGCCAGTGTACCGAGTGACTTTTGATAGGTGTTGTAAGGACAAATAATATCGAGTCACCTGAAGATTACCCCCGAGCTTATTTCACCTGATGATTAACCACCCTAACACAAATATCAGATACGAGACTCCTCCGTATGTTGTGGACGCTTGGTCAAGCCTTCGAAGGAAGATAGGTAGCGTGAGTGAGTGAGTCAACAGAGATAACGAAAGTTACATAATTGGGGAATGGGTCACTTGACAAATTATATACAAGTAACGTAAGTTGGTATAAATATGATATATAATGACAAGAGAGTGGAGGTCATTCAACGGGGAATTTCAGCATCGTAACAATACAAAAGTAAGATTGGCATTGGGTGTGTGTGTTTGTTTTATTGTAGAGGAAGATGGGGTGATAGAAGATTAGTAACCAAAGTAGAAAATATACCTGTACAGTGTGATGGAATAGTGGGAGAGGGTGTGGAGAGGGGAGAGGGAAGGAAGGGGAATGGAGGAAGAGGAGGAGGGGATGCACCACATGGCCCCCGCTCCTCCTCCACACGACAACGATCTGGTATCACTTTTTTTTTCCCGGAGAGGATAGTGTCTGATTCCCGTACTAGTGAGCGTGACGATCTGAATGTATGGCAGTTATCATACCGTTACATTGTTTAGCCTGTAGACTAAACAGATCATTATCATGTCGGAAAATTACTAAATTTTACTGCACTAAATAAACAAATAGTAAATTAAACATATAGTAAAATTAAAATACTGTACAATGAATATTATGTAACTCAACATTGCACAATACACATACTGTACACTGAAGGCGTTATTTTCATATGTTTTAAATCGAACACACATGAAGGCAGCGTAGTTTGGTACTCAAATTCGTGTTAGGTGGACTGGGGGAGAAAGCTGTATCCACTCGGCTGCCGCACACTACCCAAATTGGATACTATGTACTATCGCAACTTTATGTATTAATTATAGGAGTCATGACATCTCGGGCGGACCTAACACCCTTCATATGGGTTAAGTCATATTCTGCAAAGGCGACCACTTCCTGTGATTATTCTGCTGCTGCCTCACTGCATGTATCCCAGACGACATGCCAACTGACTTATCTAATATATACAAAGCAGAGCCTCTCCACCGCCCAAGGATAAAATACTAGTATATAGACTTCCTCTTCCCTCCAGATACGGCATATAACATTAACTTACAGTTTCTTCGGAATCGACACATCTCTGAACTTGACAAGAACACCTTGGAGAAAGATTTTTTTTTTCGTATTCTTTTCCGTCTTTCTTCCTCTCAAGTAGTACCGTACTCATTACAAAAGTTATGCCCAAGCCTCCTTGACAGACTTGTCTCATAGTAACGAGATCTTCACTGGTAGACTAATCCTTCAGCATCTGCCCTTTACTTATTCTCATCCATATAAGATATAAGTAGTGAACGCGGGCTGTATTTTGATGGAGCCCTATCCATCACTCTGCTTGATAAAAATCACAGTTGAAACGCCACACACCTCTCGATATCGAAGCTCCTGGATACGTTCTTCTTTCCCCAACAAACATTCATGTAATTCTTAAAGTGTTGGACATAGAGTACAAACATCTGTCAGCAAGAAAATAAAAGTCAATGATCTCATCTCCATGGTGCAAGGCACATTCTCCTTGTGTAAACAGACAACTGGATAACTGAGAAATATATTATAATTACATGGTTTGTTTGTGCGTGTGTGGGGGGGGGGGGTTCCATGAATGATTACTAGTTTACGCCAGAACCAACTCACATACGTTGGCGGTAATTACAATATCCACCTAAGGAAGAGAATGAGGTAGAACATCGGCATTACAGCGAAATTTACAAACCAGAAACTCTAAAATTAGTAACAATATTAACAGTAGTTTCAGGGAATAAAACATGGTCATCAAATATATCAAACTTCACGCAAAGTTCTTGGTGAAAAAAATAAGCGTTAATCTGCCGGTAAACTCCATTTGTGTGTAACGACCGGCATAACGTTTCACCGCTCGAGACGCCATAACCTGCAGGCTCCTGTACGTAACGCAAGGTGAGCCGTCAGTTGCTCCCACCGCCACATTAAACTCAAAACCTTGGGTTTTCGCCTTGCAAATTTACACAGCTCACGTAGCTAGAAGGTTTCGTGTACTCGGGAACACTAAATTGCAGGCATTGGTTTCACCGAGGGACTTAGAAAGGCACTGTAGAGGGTTTCACCTACCAGAGACGCAGAGGAGGGGGATGCGAGTGAAGGCAACTCCCTCGAATTGTCTACCCACTCGACTTAATGCTTTAAATTCTTGCGGTGAGTCCTGCAGGTGTGCAGCTCTACGCTTAAGATTAAAGAATGATGTGAGGCTCTTAGGGGAAACTTGACTCCCGGACGCGTCAAAGCATCTGCCCCAAGAAAACACATAAACCAACGCAACGCTCATCCGAGGCCACACGGTAAACACGGGCTGAGAGTTTCTCCATCCTCTTGAGTTTGTGCTTTGTTGAGTTACTTTCGGACTGGAGGGGAAATATACATCTGGGTGGATTTGTCTATTCAACTTCCTTATTATTCATATCATACTTTCATTAGTTACGAGTTTCACAGGCGAGTTGTAGGTTTCATAATGTAACATGTAATTAGATATCTCACACACACGCTGGGTTGTTATCTTGTGTTTATGGCTGGAAGGGATAATTTTCTTTATATCTTACTCTACACATATTTAACTTCCCTCTTATTATTCTCCAATCCACAATTACCGCAGTTTCCAAGAAGACTTACTACAGTTAACCCTTTATTGAGTTTCTCCGTTGATAAACAAATATAAGACTGGGACGATAAACAAATATACCTTAGCTTAATATTCACCTCTCAGCATACTTAACTCCATACGATTCACCTCGACCTATATAACTTTATTTTTTAATTTGTCCGAGGTGCCCCACAACGCCCGAACCCTTGTAAGGTACTTTTGACACTAATGCCTACTTACCTACTATACATAAGAGCATTTCAACTAGTGAAAATATACAAATACAGCTGTACCAATGTGTTTCTGAGCCAGGTAGCATCCATCTATCATACTATAATTTATGTTATACCCCACAGTACTGGTACTAAATTTACTTGAACCATTAAGTGAAATAAGACTTACTTCTGATTATAGTATCTCTACTAGTTACCACACTAAGAGTACAACTGCTAGAATAAACCGGTATATTTGTTACTCCAACAAGACAGAGGCGCTTCTCGTCTAGCTAGCGGAAGTGCGACAAGCTGGGCGCTGATACTGTCCCAGTGCCCCACGTCAACACACCTCCCAGAACTCCGTAGCGCTTGGTGGGCTCAGTCCTCCGCACGCGCTTTACCTTGGTGTACCGCGACCACCTGCTGCTCCTGCTTGCTGGCTCCTTCAGGTGGGTCATAGTGATGGTGTAGGTTGATTAGTGATGGTGTAGGTGGGTTAGAGATGGTGTAGGTGGGTTAGAGATGGTGTAGGTGGGTTAGTGATGATATAGGTGGGTTACAGCATTAAGTGGAACAACAGTGTTATTTAAGTGGATGATACAGTACCGTACATAACATAAGTGGTTAGTGCTGTTAACAAAATTCCGACAATATGCCTGAGACTCCGAACTGCTTGTGTTCACAGTAATGCTACTGTAGCATCTCACTTGGGTTTTGTAGATAGAATTTATTTGATGGTGATGAAGAGGGCCGGGGTGATGGAGAGGGTGGGATGATGGGTGTGGTTGGTGGGGAAGTGTGTTGTTTGTCAGGGAAGTGGCCGGGAAAAAAATAGCGTGTATCATATGACAAATCTTATTTACTGGTTTCACTGTGATAAAGCTACAATAAATTCCAATAATTAATTGCCAACAAAATGACAATTTACGCGTACAGGTAACAGTTTATCTAATTCTAAATGTTATTTTTAAATGTCAAAGCAGAGGAAAATAATTAATGTCAAATAAATATTTGTGGGTTTTCCTCCTGTTCGTTCGGTATCTATTAGAATGGTTTTTTTTTCATCTCATAACAAACAAGAAGGAATGATGAACTCTGCAACATAAATTGTCACTCAAATCTTATCTAGCAGATTCTTGTTACATTTTGAGCAGCCAAATGACGACTAGGTAAAATCAGTTTCGGGAAAGTTTGTATTTTAAATCGGTAATATTCTTTTAAAAGGTTTAGTTAACTAGTTTCTGAGTGTGAGATGCTCTTTTGAAAACCGTATCAATTTTTTTTAGTGCACGATGGCTCGCGCTTTTCAATAGTCTTTACGTGACTGCACGCGTGAACCCCGGATGACTGACTGGAGATGCGACACCAAGGTTAGCCTTTGATCTTGGTAAGTGAAATCGTTCGTTTACATCAACTTTAATATACTCTAAGTTACTTCTTTAGTATTGAATATTTTATTTTTTAACAATGCCCAAAGAAACGGTAACAATGTAATGTATAGTAGTGAAGTCGATAGCGATGCCAATCTAAGGTCTTGTTTATCTTCTATGTACCTTGTTGTTTCCGCCAGAGACGCGTACCTTTTGGTTGAGACAGACAGCACACGACACAGGTACATAGTGCATTCCTTAATGATGGTGCCGCCACACTCGTTGCTTATCAACCCTCTCTATCACATCCCCAACATACAGTACTGGGTTTTTATTCGTCATTCGTGTTACTCTGTGAGTTGAGGCACCATTCTCTTAATGTCTACTTTCACCCTCCCCAAATTTGCGAACGTTAAGAATAGTGTCTAACTTTGGAGTCGTGAAAATGAAGGCACTCGAGTGCAGTGCTGACTACACCCCCTTTTGTAAACGGCGAGCACAATTGAACACCTGTAAAATATGTTGTTATACCACGAGTTTTCATGTGAAGTCACATATAATGCACATAGGAATGTACAGTACAGTACAATACAGTTACGGATTCTTAAAAGATTCGTGTATCATTTTTTTTCTACTGTAAGTAAGCCATGGCATTTTCACCGCCATTTTGGCCACCATATTTACGTTGTGGTTGAAGTGAACTATTAGTAGTATGTTCTCTGGTCGCCAATTCAGGAACGAAAATAGGACAAGAAACATTGAGAATCTGGGTTCTGTTGAGCAATCATGACCAAGAGCAATATACCTGGCCCGGCGATATCTGACAGCTTTCTATCATCAAGGTCTATAGAACTTGTCTTTCGTGACAATTAAACGAAACACCCGCGCAAACTGCTGCTAGTTGAGCAGATGGCGATGCCGCCGCGCATTATTTTACAAGAAATTCTGGAGCTACAGTTAGCGAACTAATCATTTAAAAACTCTGACACGAAATGCTCCACTAAAAATAAAAAATAAAAATAAAACAACAAGTAGAATAAGCACCATTACCACTAGCTTCTCACCACTGCCGCCGTTACGAGTTTGAAATCCCGGATCCGATGTGAGAAGGATGTTATCCAGATTAACCTTACCAAACTTCACAGCCTCACAGGTTTTATTCGGGTACTCTGGTACCCTCCTGTACTATAACTGGACAAGAAGGTCTTAAAAAAGTACTGTAGCAAATAACAAACTAACCGCCCGAATGGCTAGTAAGCTGATAAGTGGTGAAAATGAATAAAGACAACCTTGGTGGGCATCACACTCATACTGTACGTCTCACCTTAACCCGTAGAACAAAACAAAGGGAGGACCCCCACTCGCTGGCTAGAAGTGGATGACTGGTGAAGATCTTAGCATTCTTAGGAAGCCTATCATTTATTTATCTTTTCGCTTCACTTGCTCTTGGCTACCAGTAAGGGAGCGGTGCCGGTAAGTGCATACACAGGGTACATGAATGAAACGTGATCCGAGTGCAGCTATGGCTCAAATATGGGAAATTATAAAAATCGTGCTAAGGGAATTATTTTTGTCTTTGCTGTTAGATCAAGTGAAGGGTAAAGTGTTCTATGTGCAAGTTAATGCACACATTTTACACACACACACACATCCCTGTCATTTTCAACCAGGTTCCTGTCGCAACTGTGGCAGGCAATCCAGGCTATCTACGAGTACATTCCACCAGATGCATGGTGTATAGGGAGGATGGTACAACACAGAAATACAAGATAGATAATTTCTACAGTTTGTTTTTTCGAAAATTAAAAATGATTTGTATATAGGGGCGATCCTGTAAAATTATAGCTAATCACAGTACCAACGATAAATTAATAGAATCATTACTAATTCAAATTAACCAAACCTAAACTAAACTAATTTATGTTTAGATATGGTAACTAACAGCAATTTGAGAGGAACAGAGTACATGTTACCACTTGTGAATCAATTAACTTACATTCACTTGTTATACCAATAAAACCAATAAGTTATCCCAAGCAAGCAAAAATTTTAGTTACGCTGCCAAAAAAGGTTAAGAATCACTGCAGTGACTAGTGGAGGGGAGAGGAGAGGGTGTAACAGAGGATATGACGTATTGGGTAATACCACACACTAGTGTTGGTGGTGTGTGCCTCTTGTGTCTACTAACCTACCCTCCATAGTTATTGGTAGTTTATTCTCTCCCACTTCAATAACGCATTTCCACCCTCTTAAAGGTTGCCAATCACACTCACATATCAACGGACATTTGGGAATTAGACATTAATTTTATAAAATCGATTACCATCCAGGTTCCCAATTTCTGCTGGGTAGACAGAGGCAAATGGCGTACAGAAACCTGACCATATTTCACCCTTCCGCTTGCGAAGCCATGAACCATAAAAACCAGCCAAGCCGAGATAGTGTTTAGATAACGTATGTTGGCGTCCTTTGTAATGTTTTTGTTATCTTTGGTGGCAATAGTGGATGTGAAATGACAAGTAGAAACAATATTGTTTTATGCAGTATTAGCAGCATACATAGCCATAGTGCCGCTCTGGTAAATTATAAATGAAGCGTTCCGATTCTTAGCGAAGTGTATCCTAATAATCTAAACTTAACCCTTTAGCAACTTAGCAGCATCCCTGAGTGCAGGGATGTGCTCAGCGCACATTGGGGCGCAGGACAGCGCAGAGCTGCCCAGCACAGTACAGGTGTGGTGCGCACGTTGACCTGCAGTCTGTCTTGCTGCGTGGTAGTCTTGTGCAAAATAATGAAATAAATTACTCTCATGTTCAATATTAGTTTTATTATTGATTTTAATTGTTTGCTTCAGTAAGCAATATTGTACACTGGCCGTCTTCTAACTTGAGAGCTACTCTATGTGATCCCACATGTAATCTTCCAGCTTGGTTTTCATGTAGTCAGGATGGCTAGTGCCAAACAGTACCCTCTGACTCTTAATAGCCTCTACAAGTTCCTCCGCCATAAAAAAATCGATAATATTATGCCCTGAAACACCTGATATGTCCACGTGTTGAGTAAAAACTGTTTCAACCACTATTCCGCGCAGCTCGACACAGGCCTGCACCTGCTTTGCGTCCTAATGTGCGGTCTCTTAGTTGAAATAACTAGACAAAAATTTGCGCTGCCCTGCACTGTGCCTCCTGTATTTCAATGTGTGCCTAGTTTTAGTTTGTTCCTGAAATAAATTATAGCAGCAGAATACAGCCAAACCATAAGCTGTTTTCACTATATCACGTCAGTGACACCGTGTGGGATTTATTGTACTGAAGTTTCTGGGTACAGGTATGGATTTGAACTTTCTCGTACATCTTTCAGATCTGCGGCGCTACAACGGTACAAGACTGTCACGTGTGGACCACAGCACCAACACCTGCACAGGAGAGATCTGTTTTTTATAAGTAGTGTGATAAAAGACTTTCCATTACGATGAAAGAAACGTAGCAAGTAGCATCAACAGGAATGTGTCAGTAGGTTCTGGACTTTGTGAAACTGCTTAAAGTTGTCAGATAACTATTTTGGTGCTTAACAGGTAAAACACCTCCCCCAGTGAGATGTGACAGTATTCCAGAGTGTGTGGTCGTCAACTCATTAATAAGGCAGGTGCCGTGGCCTGCCAGCAGGGGAGGGCGGCCTCTCTTAGCGGCTGAGAGGATGCCATACCGCGGGGACAGACACGAGGACAGACCCAAGTTCACCACAGACATCAACTATGTCAAGAAAATGCCTGGGACCATCATTTTCGTCCAGTTGGTCAGTGCTGCCTCAAGGGGCCGGATTCTCAATGTTTTTTACGTTAATTTTCCCCTAACTGGAGATATAAAGTAACTCTACAAACTGATTCATTTAAGTTACGGTCGAATGGATAAAGAGCTTGCCTCTGTCCTCAGGGCTAATGGGATTGAGCTAAGGGTGCCGCACCCCCAGTCCACCCAGCTGTAAATAGTGTAGTTATTAAACTTTACATTTGGTAAAATGAAGGCGGTCGAGTGCAGTGCCGGCCACACTGCCTCATTGTTTACGGAAGGGAAAGAATAGTGTGCTGCATCCACACTACCCTTAATAGGCCGCCAGACCCATGGGACTTTTTTCTTAATAAGACAAGCAGCTACAATGACGTCCAAATTGTGTCAAGACTCTTAACTAGACGCATTTATTATCCCCTAAGGGAGAATATCAATAAGGGTCGTTGAGAATCCGGAACTAGTTTTTTATGCCCTTTTTAATCTATATTTGATAGCCTGTATCCTGATCTGACTTGAATTTTACTTTCAATAACTACAACTTCTTGCAAAAAATTTGAACCATATCTATTGTTCCGAAATGGTGGTATTTAGTTATCTATAAACACGTTTATTGGATGAACATCTAGAGCAAAGGAATATTTTGGTGACCCTAATTATTACATGTCAAAAGTCAGAGGTTACTAATTTGTTTGATACTTAAGTGTGATTAATTATTTCCTACTGCGAAAACTATGGAAGATGATAAATATACATTTTTGTTTATTGTCTTCATATAATAATGTATAGTATAGTATATCTTTAAATATTGACTCCCATACACCCCATCTTGTTCTCTTCTCTCTACATCTTCAATGAAAATTTTTATTATAAATGGCGAGTTACAACTTGAGCTTGACCTGATTTGGATATCCTCATAATAGTCGATATTTCGAACCTCTTTCAGACTTTTCTTAAACGTCTTAATTTGTAAAAACTCCCGAGAATGAGTGACCCCGATACCATGCTCATGAACCTTAATGCCCCTTGTAATTTTCCCATTTTATATTAATATTGTCTGAATATCTCATTATAATGAACATGCATTATCAGGACCTCAAGCAAAAGACGGGGGAATAAACTAAGAAATGTCGCTCCGAAGCCGAGTAAAGTTTACTTTATAGGAGTACAGTACAGTATCATAGAATCACGAGTTTTTCAAAGCAAAAGTTAATGAAAGAAAGATGCTTATATTTCAATTACTGTACTTCTAATAACAACACAGTAGTCAATATATATCATGTTAATTTTACTAAAGGTTTCTTAATATCAGCGCTTATGATTAGATATTGTATCCTGACTGTGGTGCAAAAAATTCTTGTAAATGAACAAGGTTGAAATCCTTTCTGCCAGAAATCCTCTCCCTTACACAAGTCCTATCATGACAAACGTTACTTGTTTTTATTGACATGTAATATATATTATATGTTTAACACCGTGAAAAACTCAAATTTCCTGTATACAGCGTTCACATTCAGCATGTGATGGATTATGTGAGGGAATGTCTTGCTTAATGATAATTAATCTTTTTATGCTTCATGTCTGAATTATAGAATGCAAATTTGATCCGGGAAACACAAGAGAACGAGTAAACTTTTACAGACACACTATAAACTTCCTATACGAAGCGTCACCGTTTTGTAAACGTGAATCCTCAGGAAGGCTTCGGGCCGAGAAATACAAAACGAACCAATTTGAACCAAACCTAACGGAACGATCTTCGAATACTTCAGTTAAAATTGGTAAGAAAAGGTTCAGTTCGCTTTGTCTAAGACTAACAAAAATATCAACTCAATTAGTGCACTCTTTTCTAGTTTCATTAAATATAATACATGAAAAAGTCGAGGAAATTAATTTTCGTAAATGAAAAAGAAATATGATCGTTCTCAAGATTTGGTTTTTCAAATATATCTGTAAATTAGGCTTCTCAGTCCTCGACAATTGACTACAAATGTTGAACTTTCCCGCTTAAGACTCCACTGATATTTGAAACGAGAATGTGTGACTGCACGAAAGTGTCCCTCAATTTTACTAAAGCGAACGTGAACACAAAATCTGAGGTACCAGCCAAACCAACTAAACCTAACAAGATATACTTTAGGTTAGGTTTGTTTAGTTTGTCCGGTCATATTTCATAAATATTTTTTCCACACGTTTTATTCCTTCCTCTTCAATCGAATTTGCATTTCAAGCATTAAAACAAACAAATCCGCAAGGCTCTTCTGAGAAAGGCAGAGTGGAAAACCTCCAACCATGGCCAATACACAGTCACCTACCTATCTTCCGTAACTCAACCATAACCTAACCTATGCACAAGAGTGATTTCAACAAAAAAAGTCAGGAAATGTGTTTACTTACTTGTAGTGTTAGGTCAAGATTGATCTCCATTCATAAAGTGATGACCGAGCTTCTGTATATTTGACAACCAGTACTTGACCATCTGTCCTTTGGTTATTTTGTTTGGTAGGTTTAAATAATTTACGAGGATTCTGCTTATATCTTGCACCTCTCACACGTTGATTTCCACTTTTCTATAAGTCGTTCTTTTATTTGGATTGTTGTTTATCACAGATCATCGGCAATTTTTCACACACGTCAGTGTTTGTTTATTCCTACCGCCTCTGGCGCAGCGAATCAGCGGCGCTGATTCAGCGCCTCAGCGATAGGGGCGAGTGACGCATGCGCACTCCATGTTACGTCAATTTACTCATTAGGAATATTAACAACTTACGGGGATATCTTCACTCATTATCACACATTAATTTAGATTTTATAAAAATTATTGTATTTTCATTTAATAATTTTATTTGCAAGAAAAAATAATGCTTTGCTTATTGTGTAATTAGTAAAAATCATTAACGTCCCTAATAAAGAGTATCATTGACAGTACTATTTAAATGTTCAACACTTTCATATAAACAAATTATTACTTGTTATTTTTTTTACATAATCTAAGCAATTCTTAGAATTATTAAAGCTTCGAAATCTAGTACAGTACATTTATTATTATTATTATTATTATTATTATTATTATTATTATTATTATAAATCTACTCCTTCTTAGTAACAGTTGTATTTCTTGTTGATATAATTGTTAGCATTAGTAAAATAACCAAGGTGTGGTGGGTGACAGGTGTGCATGGGGCTGGGGTTCCTGTTGGCCCTGGGAGGCTCCATGGTATGGAAAGTCAAGTCTGGCCACGCGTTTTTCACCTTCGTTTCCTTCATGAGTTTCCTGAGCTGCATCTGCTGGCTGCTGGTGCACGTGTTACAGCTCTTTTCCCTCTTCAAGACACCCATTAATTGGAACATAGTGGTGAGTAAGACAACCATTAACTGGAACTAAGTGGGGAGTAAGACACCCATTAATTGGAACAGTGGTAAGACGACCACTGACTATAACAAAGTGATGAGTAAAGGGAACTGTAGTTAAAAAGTTAATATTCTTCAAGAAATAAGTAGTGTGTGTGTGTGTGTGTGTGTGTGTGTGTGTGTGTGTGTGTGTGTATGTATGTGTGTGTGTGGTATATAATTATATACAGGTATACATTTTCATCTGTGGTTGAACTTCCGGGGCGCCCTATCTTGTCCTTTCCCATCCCTTAGCTCCTCTCCTCCCTAGTTCTCTCCGTGTTGTTCCAGCTCTCCCTCCCACGATGAAGATTAACTCCCGCCGTCCTAAACACCTCTTTGTCAACCAATCTACTGGCATTCTCCTACCATCTCAGAGCACCTATTACCCACCCTTCTCCCTCATTCTGAACCTCTCCTATGCTTTAATATTTCTCACTTCTTTTGCTTTCTTTCCAACCTAAATGCAACTTTCATTATTTAGTATAGAGCAACGAGTCTCTCTAAGTCTGTGTTTTACTATCACATGCCAAGGAAGGAATGATAATACTATTCCTTAGGTTCTTCTTCACCTCAAAGCTTATGTTCCTTATCTTAATTATGTTTCCTTGGTCCCTAATCGTCCTCCTTCTAGGTAGTGTTATCTTCTTGATTTTACTCTCCGCCTCACCATTGTTACCTTTTGACTTTTATCCTCTTCGCCACTGATCGGCTCGTTAGCCGCTTGGCAGTCGGTCACGTCTGTTACACTGTTGAAAAGTACTGGCTCAAGAATGTATCTACACCTACGCCAGTGTTGGTCAAGTCTGATCTTGAATAAGCTCACACTCGGTGCTGTCACAACACTCTCTGGCAAATTGTTCCAAGAGTTTGCAACTCCGAAAAAGTTTGCCCTCACAGTTTTCCGAATTTGTGACTTCTTCAACCTTGAGCTATGACTCCTGAGATGTTTATGAACTTTAATTAAGTCGCCCCTTGCCCGCCTACAGTAAAAACAGGCAACTTCGGATGTTTGGATATCCCTGGGTAACTGAGGTGTCGTATAGCGCAGGCACTAGTCTGGAGGGCCCCTTTTTGTCATTTTCAATTTACTGACAGTCTCTAGCATATCTGGGGGACAATACTCCAAACGGGGAAGCACCTCGCTCTTGAAGAGGGGACAGACCCGTCTAGATATCTGAACGACCTTCTTTTAAGATTTTCTAGTATTAATCCAAATGGCTGTAAATTTCGTCGGGTTTATATACACAGTACATAAATCTTCTGTATGAAGAATTTTGGTATTCTATAGCATGCATACTGCTTTATAATGCGTTACGATGAATTTAGATTAATACATCACCTTAGAAAGTTTTGATAAATTCTCAGCTGAGTGTCTATATAGTGCGTACGAATAAACACCACTATTTGAATCTCCCCTAAATATGCTGGAGAAGTTATGAACCCCAACACTCTTCAGCCATACATCATTCCTAGATGTTTTAAGTCTCTGCCCTCCTCCAATGTAATTTTGAAGGAAGGATAAGTGTAGATAAAGAAGAATATTTAAACTACCTTCATTTTAATATTCTCTTATCTTTACCAAACTCATTACGTATATCCAACGCCTTCCTCTCAAATTCCACATACCCATTTTACCTTGTATTGAGCACTAATTTATTCTATGGAACATCCTGTCAAACCAACCTATCATCCTTCGTCAAATCAGTTCACCCTCCGGAAAAAGCTCTACACCATCACCACACCACGTCTCACCCAAGAACTAAAAACAGTATTTTATCCTCGAGTCGCACCTTTCAACATTAGTTTCGCTATTAACCGCTTTCCCAGTCACTCTTAGTCTTTATATCCCTCACTTTTACATCCATACATAATATGTTGAATAACAGCGAAGACGCCACACACTCCTGTCCTGTCTAGTCTCCATTCCCCTCAAAGCTTTTACTTCACTCGCCTCCCTTCCCCCCTCAAAGCTCGCACTTTGTCTTCCATTTACTCAGCGCCTTATCATTTACCCTTATATTTGCTTTGTCCTACTAGTAACATGCTTCCACTCCACCAAGTATTTCTCCTCCCAAGCAATGAATCGTTCTCACTACCCACACTGGTTTGCCGTCCAGCGTATCGTATGTCTTTCATATCCTATAAACTTAATGAAATCCCCTCCTATACCGATCGTATACTAATTATGAATAAATAATAGCTGGTCTTTTGTTTCTCAAAAGCACCAGTTCTTCTAAAGAATTCACTAGCGCTCAAAACACTCCAAAGTCAAAGACTTGAGAATAAAAAGAAATACTGTACTACAATAAAAGATCACAAAATGTGAGTTAGATTTCCATGGAGTAGAGGATGTGCTTGTGCTATTCTCGTGGTATCATCAGTCTTTTTATCACCGCAGGAAAGGTCAGTGACCAACTACTGTATATACAGTATTTTGTTTTTTTTACAGAACACAGTAAATTTACTTTAACGGTTTTGATGATATTTTTTGCTGATGGTGGTGAGTGTGGCACTTTATTTTCTATAAACACGTACACTCACTCACACACATACACCACAGTAACCCTGTGTGGTTAGTTACTGCTGACAACAATGACATTGAATTGCTCACATTCATCTGGAAGATGCATGCACATTTTGTTGGCTCAGTACCAAACAACGATGCCAAACTTTGGGTATCAGACCTTAAGTGCTCTGTAAATGTCCCTTAATCGGGAGACTGTGAAAGACGCATACTTGAACTGAACAAAAAAGAAATATATATATATTGAGAGCAGAATCCCACATGAGGCAGATACAGCTTCTATAGAAACAAATAATAAAAAGGGAGCTGGTAACTAAGACGGAAAAGTCAGTTAATGTGTCCCGGAAACGCAATCTGACAAGCTCGGAAATGTTGATTCTGAGAAAAATTACGAGTCCTGGTTGAACATGATATACCAACGCTAGAAGACGGTGCGGCTGAAAAACGTCACGGGAGAGGTGGCTAGTGCTTATGTGATGGAGTTCCGGTGTCTCTGCCAATAATGGAAGCAGGTAACCGACGCTATTAACACTGGTAAGATTTTCCTAGTCGCTAAATAATAAATCTAACCGATTCAATTGAAAATGATTTATCAATACGTATGGAAAATTTCTCCCCTGATGTGATGTTGTGGAGTAAAATTATCCAGTATATGTGTCTGTGTAGGAGGAATAATATTGTAATGTTTATTGTTGTGTAAGATGATAAGTTTGGCAATATCTGACTCTACTTAAAGCTTCGTGGAAATAGGTGGATCGGGTTATTATCATCTGATTACTCAGACTTCTCTTTGTGTTTGAAAGAGACTTCTTCAGGTATAAATCAATTACATACATAACTCACAAGTAGATGTCAGATATTATCAAAGGTGTTGAAGGACTTCTGGTCACAATTATACCTTGATATGTGCTTTATATATACTCGTATATACTGGTACATTAACGTATTCCCCTTTGATGCAGGGAATGGGGTTCAACGGGGTGAACGGGTTCCTGGTGATGGTAGCCAGCTGTCTCATGATCGATGTGGCGTTGGAGGCAAGAGCGCTCAAGGCTGCTGGGGTGAGTACTACCATACACAATAACAAACACGCACACACTAATGCATAACTGAACACACACACACACACACGGATTGACACATGCACACACATTCATACATTATAGACAGCTAAACATTCATACACACGCATACACAAGCATAAGTAAAATTCGACATTATGTAAAAAAAATAAATAACCGAGGGTACCTTTGGTGATTAGAAAAAGAGACTAATCAACCTATGTATTGTCCAATTTACAATAATTTAATATGTCTTAAAGAGGTAATTATGATAATACTTGAGCGTAATGAAGTTATAATTTATCTTAAATTTGGCCACACTTCTCTACTTCCATCTACATAGACACATTCCTTCATCTCCTACTTGGCCACATTCTTTCACTTCCTTCTATTTACCACTGTTCCTTCACCTCCTTTTACTTGACCACACTCTTTCACCTACTTCTACTTGGCCACATTCCTTCACTACCTTCTACCTGGCCACACTCCCCCACTAGGGCTCACCCCTTTATTTGGCCACACCCTCTTACTTACCCACACCTCTCAATCTGGCTTGGCCCCTCAACTCTGCCACACACATCCAATTGGTCTCACCCTTCCATAATCATCCATTTAAGCATATCCTTTCGCTTGGCCACACTTACCCACACCTATCCGTATGACCGCGCCCCTCAACATTTACCGTTCCTGTCCTGTGTATCACAAGCTTTTCTTTGTTTCTTAATAGACCTCCTTAGAGTACGTGCTCAAAGACCTCAGTTGTTGAAGCACACAAACATATAATGAACGATAACAATTCATCCGGCAGGTGTTCGGGTTCCTAGGGTTTACGGGGTTCCTGGTGGGGCTGGTGTGGGAGGCGCTGAAGTGGCACAAGGACAAGGACTCAGGCCAAGGCTTCTCTACTGCCACCGTTGTCCGCGGCGCTCCGAGACGTAAGTACCGACCAACACACACTTTACTCTCTCGTTAACCATCTGTTCCCATTTTAGTCATCTGACCGTTTCCTAAACCACATGCGCGAGTCTTACGTATCTATCTGAAGGCTGAATGCTTATGTGATAAAAAAAGGAAAATCCCCACATCATGAATAGGGAAAAAGCATGGTTCATAAATATTATATGAATATAAATATAAAGAACGTTCCTGTGACAGTTAGAGAATTTTGAGTGAAGGGGCTTTAGAGGTCCAAAGATATTTTTATATCTGCTTTGTTAGTTTTGAAAAACTTTTGATAAGGTAAAACGCAATGAACTTATAGAGATCTTGGAAAAAATAGCATTGATGAAGAAGATATTAGAATTTTAAAGAATCTTTACTGGAAACAGGAGGCTGCAGTGTTAGCAAATAATGAACTTACTAATTGGTTCACAGTTAGACAGGGAGTAAGACAAGACTAGTCTATCTCCAATATTGTATAATATATATTCAAAATTCTTAATGAGAGAAGTTATAAGTGATAATGAAGGACTAAAAGTTAATGGTAAAGTAATATACATTAAAATAATACGCTGTGCAGAGGCTACTGCTCTTGTCACAGATAGTGAACAGGCATTACAAAAACTCGTTAACAGATTAGTGGAAAAGGGTGAAAAATATGGTTTAATAGTTAATGCTGTAAAGACTAAAGTAATGGTTGTTCCCAAACTGGCAACAGGGAACTTAAACAAGTGGAAAATTTTGTGTATTTGGGAAGTAACATGTGATGGTAGATGAACGGAAGAAATCAAAACAACAATATGACAAGCAAAAACAGCATTTAATAATCTAAAAGACCAAATGAAAAGGGACATTAACTTCAATTTGAAAAAAAGGCTGCTGAAAGGCTTTATATGGTAAGGACTGATGTATGGGTCAGAAGCGTGGACACTTTAACAGACACCAGAAGCAGGTTGGAGACCTTTGTAATGCGATGTTATAGGCGATTGCTAAGAATAAACTACACGGACAGGAAAACAAATGAAGACATACTAAGATTAGTAAAAACTTCAAGAGAAATATACTCAAAATATACAGAAAAAGACAATTGAGATACTTTGGTCATATACTGTAATTATGGATGGGGGAATACTAACAGAAATATTAATGGGCAAAGTTGAGGCCAGAGGAAGGCAGAGGGATCCAAAACCTCGGAGGATTGGTATAAAAAAAAAGTTTAATGCAGGACTGTGGTCGCCAACCCTCCGAGATGAGGACGGTACTCTGATCATAAACTAAGTTTACAGTACCACAACTCTGTATTGTAAAATATCATTTCAAACTACTGATACATTGCACAATTTCATATATTTTAACGAGATAATTACAACAATAATAGTGGTAATAGATAGTGTACTGTTAGACTTCCACCAGTAGAGGCAAACATTCACTTTCTATTACATAAATTTCCAGGTAAAGCAAGAGGAAGCAACTCCCCAGGTGTTTCACAGTACTGTGCGGTCATAAAGTTTACACGACACAATAATGATGATGGTATAGAATGCCAACCCAAACGACTGACTTTAATTTCCCCACTTTCCTTCTTTCGGGATCTGCTGGGAAGCTATGTATCTTAGATCTCTTGTCTGACCTATTGCTGCATCCCATCATAATACAAAGAAAAAACACTTATTCATCCATCTAAATTTTAAAGCAATGGTCAGATGGTAACTGAGGGAGAACCAGGCGGGCTCACTGGGCACGGGTGGCAATAATATGGCGCCAAGTAATCACATAATCTAATTTTCCGGGACTATTTCTGACCATCTGGATAATTCTTAACCATCTGGCGAGTCTTGACCACCCGGAAGACCCTGAACCTTCTGCTGTATCTAAATTGTCTCTGTCGGGCCATCAGGCTTATTTGAACTTTCTTCTCACATCTACAAAGCACTTCATTTTCAAGTCAATGTTTTTTAAGACGAAGTATTTTGGAGTCACTGTAAAAATGCATAATTATGAGTTATAACTTATCGTGTTTAAAACTTAGAAGAGGAACTACATTTTGGAGTAAATGCTGGGTGTGGAGTACTTGGTAACGAGAGTTCATGGTCCTGCAGCTGACACTCCAGAGAGTGACGACTGTGTGGACCTTCGCGATGAGGTAGCAGGTGAAGACGACAAGGAGGCTTCAGTGGGCTTCGTGGGCATGAGGGCTAGACCCGTGTCCTCTTTCGTTCAGGTCAGTATTTTACACTTACTGGTACTTTGGTAATTGAGTGTGTTGATTTATTATTTATTTTCATGCTGTCTAAAAAATTTTAATTTTAATTATTTGCTGCACTACAGTACATGGCTATAGTAAACGAATGTACGCTAAACAAGAGAGCAGCAGTATAAAGTTCTTAAAACTACGGTATCCTTTGACCGGCACATCAGGTGTTAAGTAATTTCACTTTCTCAGTTCTTCTCAAGATATCGGAAAAAACAAGAATTCAACTACCCTCTTTATCTATATATTCAGTCATTTGCCTACATCAACTGTAGGCAAATTACTGAAAGCAATAATTTCAAGCTCGATTTGAAATCACCTGGAGAAACACAAATTGAGCAATGATTCCCAGCATGGCTTCACAAGTGGGCGTTCATGTCTGACAACTCTATTATCATTCTTCTCAACTGTTTTCGAATTAGTGGATGACAAGCATGATTATGATGTGGTTTACCTCGATTTAAGCAAAGACTAACACGAAAGACTAATACGTAAAGTGGAGGCACGATCGGGAAGACAAGAGCACCTATGGACGCGTCTGTCCCCTTATGTGGTCAGGCAACAAGTGTGGGTGAACTTTTTTTTCTTTTTTTTTGGGGTGGGGGGCACTCCTTGTGTAAGGTGAAGCGCAGAAGCGTTTACAGCGCCCAACAGGGAAGCATGCTAAGTTCATGCTTGCCTGTTTGTCTCATGAGCTAAGGGCGTAGAAGCCTGAAGAGTCAATGGTTTATGTCAAAGCAAGTTATTGGAAGCTCCAACAACTTGTCCCTGAATACGAATTCGCAATTTTCGATTTACAGCAGCTACCTACATTGCTGCTAGGCGAACGGGGAGGCTGGGAAGTGTGTCCGAACAACTTTCCACCTGCCCGGGATTCGAACCCTGGGTGCAAGTGAGCGACCCTTAGGTCAGTTGGCGGGCCGCACCTCCTCACCCTATGACCTCCCCCTACAGGGGTGGCACCTCTTCCCTCCCTGACCAGATATCCCTCCTCCTAGTGATAGGCCTGGCACTTGACATTATTAGGGACCTGCCACACTTTGTCATAAACAGATAAATTGTACCGGGAATTTTCCCCCCCACACACTCATCATTGTCACTTTATGTAACTTGCTGACAAAACCCATGACCCTTCAGGCCTTTTACGCCCTTCATGCATGAGTTATAAAGGCAAGCATGAACTCCGCATACTTCCCAATTGGGCGCTGTAAACGCTTCTGCGCCTCACCTTGCACAGGATGTAAGGGGGTGCCCAATAAACTAGCCCCCTCGTGGGCAATCTGAATCTGACCCCTAGGTATTACTTGCGTCATGTGCAAGAGGGCTTACAATTTTTCAATATCCAGACGTGTGTACACACTTGTAGTGTATCTTTCCTCACCAAACTACATATTTTACGTCTTAAACTCTTAGGATCAGCGGATTAGATTTCTAAGAGCAGCAGGAGAGTCTCACGACATCTTTAATATTTTTGCGTCTATATCATGATGCTTTTATTAACAGTGAACAGGGAAAATCCTCGTTAGCAACACTGTATTACCAATAAATAATCAAATTATTTCCTTCTCTTTTTCCCTGCCAACAGCCCGCCACCAACGGGGAGGTGACCACGCCCATGCTGTATGCCCCCGGCTGGCAGGACAAGACCGAGAGTCCTCCTGGCGTCGCCCGCAACTCTGACAACTCCTCAGACTCCTCCATTCAGGGAGAATGGCAGACACCTTCCTGAGCCCCGTCACACCCCCCACCCCTCTCTCTCTCTCTGCTGACACTAAAGTCTGGGTGTTCTCTCTCCCTGATGACAGTGAAGTTTAAGTGTTTCCTCTCCCCCTCTTAGCTGACACTGAAGTCTGAGTGTCCTCCCTTCCTCCTTACTGCCACTAAACCGCACATGTATCTCCATGATAGTGTTTGTGTTTAAAGACAGTCGTTTTGTGGCTGACGACATTTATGGTGACTCAGCTTAACTTTCATTAATGCTTATGGAGACTAGATTTAGTATTTGATATCACGTGAGCACAATGCAGTCTCTTGTTACACACCATAACTATGAATTGAATTGAATTGAAACAGTTTAATTAGCAAGAAAAATACATGACTCGCAAAATAGTGACAGAGGTGACATAATTTTTCTCTTTGCTCTTGAATGAGTCTTGTGATAATTTACTGTGAATGAATGTTCACCTTTGCTACACTCCGTGTAGGCCTACCTGTACATGTTTATAGTATTGTCATGATTGTTTTCCCTTTGTTGGAATTTAGACTAATTTGTATTGTTTTGAAATGTGAATGAACATTACAGTAAAGCAAATGTATCATTTCTAAATTACTGTAAATATTGACAATTATTTCTTAGTTTTGAAGTATATTGTAATATTAGCGTATTTTTAAAGATTTATAAGGTGTTTGAAGTTTTGATAATAATGTTGATTTATATTTAAGGAACATAAGAAAATGCAGAATACGTCACAGGTAGCTTCTAAAGTCAGACAGACACAAGCTTGTGAAAGAGACCTAGGGGTACTTGTAAGCCCGGACCTACGGCCTAGAAAACAGTGCGTTATTGTTCGAAATAAGGCAAACAGAGTATTGGGTTTTATATCTAGAAGTGTAAGTAACAAGAGTGCAGAGGTCTTATTGCAACTATATCTTGCGCTAGTCAGGCCACACCTCGATTATGCGGTTCAGTTCTGGTGCCCCTATTATAGAATGGATATAAATTCACTAGAGTCGGTGCAGCGAAGAATGACAAAAATGATTCCGGGACTTAGAAACCTTCCATATCAGGATAGGCTAAAGAAACTTAACTTGCATTCCCTAGAAAGACGAAGAGTGCGGGGAGATATGATAGAAGTATTTAAGTGGGTGAAAGGAATCAATAAAGGGGATATAGATAAAGTTCTTATAATATCCGAGCAGGATAGGACTCGGAGCAACGGATTCAAGTTGGATAAGTTTAGGTTTAGGAGGGAGATAGGAAGAAACTGGTTCACAAATAGGATGGTGGACGAGTGGAACAAGCTTAGCAACTTTGTAGTAAGTGCGGGAACTCTGGAAAGTTTCAAAAGGAGGCTAGATACATTCATGGATGATAGAGAGTGGTAGTAACTCTCGACAGGAGCTGCCATGCACAGGCCAACCGGCCTATTGCAGACTCCTTATTTTCTTATGTTCTTATGTTCACTCACACAATCTCCCGGGTAGTGTGAAACATCGGTGAGTGCTTCACTCCTCATACCATCATCATAACGTCAACATTTTTTCGCGAACTTTCATAAATTATATTTCGTAAAGAACCGAGTGCCAGGCTCGTAACATAAAAACAACGCCAGAAAGAGTAATCAATAACATCTGGCATCCTCTCTACCCAGCAAATAACGAACCTATTGATTTTTGTAAACATGAAAATTATTTGCTGTTTTGTTTGCATTGAGGCCCATTTATGGCGCTAACATACAGCAAGACCTCGGGTTGATGGACATAAGGTCATAAGACTAAAGTCAAGATTCTCACGATACCGTCACCACGAGGGACTTGCACTATAGAAAAGAGTACTGTACCTCCAGCGGTGTACGTGATAAGGGAGGTTTTTAGCTATCAACACTGCCGTAGCCAGACTGGTGTCGTTCCAGTACTTACTTTGCTTTCTCTGTGGTAATAGTAGGTTTAATCCGACCGTAAATGTATGCAGAGTCAACTTGATAGATAGATAGAATTTTCTGATAGAAAAAGCTTGCTGGTATCGTTACGAAGTAACTCTCAAAGAAATAATATCACTGCCCTTTTTCCCTTGCAACCAAGAAACACCAGATACAGAATTCTTATGAAAAAATATATCACTGCAGCAGACAACAACAAACAAAAAGAAAAAATATGGAAATTAAGAGCTGATAGAATAACATTAATTACAGAAGAAAATTAAAAAAAAATATTAATAAACAGTTGGAATAACAATAAGGGGAAAGCAATGAATGTGGAGTTAAGTAAGGAAGAAATAACTGAAATAGGTCAACATTCTCAGGCTAACAACATGTCTGTCTGTCTCCCCTTTCAACCCCACACGACTTGTTGGTGAACTCTGCCCGCTGTAAAATGATCAAAATGAAAAATAAATAAAAATAAAGTATCAATACTACTATTTTAGGGGCTGTAGCAAAGATTCTTTACACTGTATTTGAGTTTTAGGTAAATTTGTTGAAGAACCAGCGGGTTAATGGACCAAAAACCTAAAACTCTGTGCATTGTTGATGACATTCGGCTCCTGTACAGAACGTTAAAAATCATATCAATCTCAATTATATTTTATATCAAACTCAGGGTATATATTATATCAAATCACGTGTATATTGGTTGAATTACAGCCATTCTATGGAACAAAATCACTAGAATAGATTTATGTGCGACATTTTACGCCCAATTGCTCAAATAGCACGTTATCAGAAATAGTAACGTGTATCTGAAACACCTTACTTTCTAATTGGTTAAGGATCATTGAAAAACACCTCAGCATGTACGTTTTTGTGGTGTGCTTGATCTTTGATAAAAAAATTAAATCTTTAGACTGGCCAAATACGTGAATAAAAAGGTATCTGAACCAAGGTACGCTCCAGCCGAATTTCATATCTATTCACCTGGAAATGATGGAGACAATAAACTGTTAATTGTCTGTGACGAGACATTAATTAGAAAGATACAGGGAAAAGTGTGTCTTTCTCCCATCAAAAATTCATGAAAATATATGATAATGAAATATAAATAGTGAAGGGCGCAGTTACGCAAGAAGTGAAAGGTACAGCTAAAACTTACAATAAATTCAAACTCCCAAACCTCAGGTGAGATAACCTGCTCGTGGGCTGCAAGGTATATTGACAGACAGAACGAGAAAACTTGCAATGTTTTCTTGTTTTTGATTATGAGTCAGGGATTTTTTTTTAATATAAATATTGAACAAAGGCGTGTGCATAGTTCTTATAGTTAAAAAGTGATTATCTTGCAGTAAAATCGGCGTGGGCTTCTGTAAATATTATTATAGGGACACTTCAATCTTTTTTTTTTCCCAGTCAAAACTTATGTGAGGATATCCTTGGACGATTTCGCACTTGTACTAGCTTTCGTAAATGCACCGCACAATCATTATTAATTATGAAATACTTCAGGAAGTGTATTAATTATAGAGCAAACCTTCTTAATTATATATGGGTATCTATGATTTTTGTCGCCGAGTGTTTGATGTTATCTCTGGTTCAGTGAATTTTGTAATTTTTTTTACAGCAAGAGTGATTTTTAACGAACCAAAGACTGTTAGTTATTTAACTGCTATAATTATAATACTAATTACTTAACAACATTCGTGACTGTATTATTTCCCTAAAGTGGCCAAGCGTACCGAGGAAGTAGTTTAGAACAAAGTATTGTTATGCCGAGGCATAATTTGGTATTATAATGTTTGTAAACTTGGTGTTTTTATTATTTTCTATTCCAAGCAGCAGTTATTTTGTCAAGTTTAGGGAGATTTTCTTGTATATATTGATGTTTTGCTAAGGGTGCCTTACATGGTCAATATTTATTGACAATATTATAAGGTCTATATTATTACTGACAACAGTCACCACACACGTTCAATAATTCAGACTATCTTGTCAGCCAGTCACCAAGTGGGTGCAGACAAAAATGTCGGCTCATAAATCTTGTGTCGCTTTAATCTTGGCTTTTGCATTAGAAAAAAAAAGTGATAAATGGAAGAGGTGGGTGAAGGAGTAGTGGCTTACTAAGCGACTGACATACACATACAAATCTGCTGAATGAGGTACAAGTGGTGGAACTTAGTGAATTGCACAATTATTTTCAAATCTCACCTTTCTTTCTATCTTTGAGAATAACTAACAACTTGTCATAAGTTGCATTTTTCTTTATTTTGTCCATAACGTTGGTAATTCTTTATATGTTCGAATAAATCATAACACATCACTAGCTTCACTTTTTGTTTGTGGGTGACAGTCACGATTAGCAAGACCGGCAGTAGGCCTACTTGTATACGCCATAACGCCCGTTGCTATACTGGTCCAATATTAACAATATTAGCCTCATACGGTCAATAATTATTGACATTACAGTAGAAATATTTTGAAACTCATCAATCCAGAATCCCTCAATATTTTGTATTGTCAATACCATCAATATCAACCCCACACTGTCAATTATTTTGTCAATATTTTGTCGATCGCTTCTGCTCAGAGTGTGAAGTACTGTACAAGCCGAGTGACAACTAAAGATTGTTGTGAGCAATATACAGTAGAGTGAAAAGTCTAAGGAATTGTACACTGACTGTATATATTCGAAATGAGAATTCCAGTTGTGAGGATACCCTGTGAACAGTTTTTGTGAAGATTATGTGATTATTAAAGAAGGCTACAATTCACAAGTGTGTATCTTTGATCTGGTGGAAATCTACCTGCCTGTTGTTTGTCTGTACACTGATACTGATCGTTGGGGAAATTACAGAAGACTGACGGGACAGTTAGTGGTAACAGAACACTTGTGATACGTCTACTATTCTACCGTTTCTGTACATACGAGCACCAGCGGTACAAGCGGCGATCTGTACAGTACTAACAGTTAACATAAACACCATTACCACCGCCACTACTATTACTAGTGCTGCTATTATCGTCACTACTGTTGTTACGACTGTTATTAATATTATTCGTCTCGGTATCAATCTAGCACTGTAGTTGTTCAAGGAAAAATACTTTGAGCAAATACATACTTTATTCAACAAACCAAATAAATAAACACACACACACACACACACAATAAATAGATAGCAAAAATAAATACAGTACTATGAAAATTAATTACTCTTCATGGCTTACCATCAGGCTATATCGAAAATCTAGGACATTCAAGACTGGAACTATGGTGCGTGTGTGTGTGAGTGACGAGAGGTATAGTCTACTGGTATCCTACTGGCCTAAAATATACAGTATTTACTTAACAAAAATAAAATGTAGGTTACAACAATAATTACATAAAAATCATATTTTACTGATAACAACAATAACCTACTTTGGCAGACAAGTCTTTCCTAGAACTGTCTTCTTCTATAAGTGGACTCTATTGACAGCAAAGGATCACGGTTACCTTTTAATTTGTGTGCACCAAGTTAGTCACTCCTGCACCACCGGGTAAGATGTAGGTCTTGTACCATGGTTACCACGGGGCAGTCAGGGGGTTACCTCCTGTACCAGGGGTAATTCTGCAGGCTCTGGTACATGGCTGTATTATCAGGGATGATGGAACCAGATGCCGGAGGTCCGTGGCCCTTGGGAGGCTTGTAATGCATCCCATTGTCGCCTCCCGTATATATCACATCCTTCGGCTAAAAATGAAAAGAAGAGATTACGTAAATGGTTGTCTAGTATTGGGTGAAGGATACTAGACGGGGAGGGCAGCTGTATGCAAAGAGTGGAATATTTACAAGTCACAAGTTGATGTTACCTTTAATGCCAGACGGACAGTAACAAGGTAGAGTAAATTAAAGAACAGTGACTATTTATTGTTGGTCATGTGTATACTGTATTTACTTCTTGCACTGTCACTATGTTGAAATACACTGTAGTTTGAGCTTTTCCCCATCTAGTTATTATATATCTTATTTGTATCACTTATATTACTTGTATATTATTTGTAATTCGAAACCCATTCCCCAAACTGTATATTTTCAGCCTTCTGACTGCCAAGCTCTTTCAATAAACCGTTAATTATTATTATTATTATTATTAATAGCCAAACGAGGTTCGACAACAGTATAACAACTTGAATTTAAACAACCGTAATATTAAGAACATTTTATACAATAGTAAAACAGTTCTTCCGATAGTAGAACATGACTTTACACATCAATGTAACATGACTAAAGACAAAATTCGAGCGATAATTTTAGAAAACAGTACAACTAAGAAAACTTTAGACAGCAGTACAAGAACAAGAGTAGAACAACAACACAGGGACAACAGGATGGACGTGGAAGGAGGCAAGAACATGGTAAAGAAGGGTACTCACCCCTGGGTACGTGTACTTGCCGGGTCCCAGCTTATCCAGGAACCTGCCAGGCCCAATCTCGCGGGTCACCTGAAAGTCCCCAAGATAAGGCACGGCGACTCTGAATCCCAGGCGATTCTCCAATCCTGTGGGGAGATAGATGGAAGGTCAAGGTCACTGGGTCACAGGCAGATAAGTACTTGAAAGCTGTAAAGTTTGAGAACATCAACAGAACAGAAGAGAGAGCCAAAATTTGGAGTCTCAAGATTCGTTCGTTCATTACTTTCCTTTACTGCAAGACAAGAGTAAGCATTCAAAACGGTTGTCTCAATAAATTTTTAATGCCATTTTTTAGATCATCTGAAGATTAGCCCTTCAGTTTATTTAACTTTGAGATTAGGGCATACACTAATCATTGAGTCGTTTTCTAACCCCAGACGACTCTCTTAACCACCAGTGACACCCGGACGACCACTAACCTTTAACGACTCGGTTATCGCCGTAGTGTTCGTCGCTGCCCGTGCCGTCTGCTCCCAGTGCCTTCAGGAGCGGTGACACGACGTCCCCAACGGAGATGTGTCCGTCCCACAGCGGCTCTTGTGGGTGAAGGGAGAGTCAGAATAAGAAAACATGGGAGAAACGGTGGGTGGGTGGAAGGGATGGTGGGAGAAGTAGTAAGTGGAAGGGATGATGAGGGTTTGCTACTGTGGATCAGTGTGAAAGGTCTACAAGCAAACACTAATTTAGTCTGCACACACACACAAAAAAAAACATCACTGGGAGTTAAAACAAAAAATGTCCTTTTAATTTACTTCATATATGTTTTAATAAGACGTACTGTACATTAAAAGTCTAAGCTCGACCTACCTGTGAACATTACACATTACTTATCAGAGGACTGCCAAGTTCCGCGATAAAAATGTGAAGCGCGGAAAATTTTCAACCCACATCGTAAATATTAGTCTACAGTAAATGATCTGAAGCCCCCTCGAAAACTGTTTTTAATGGTGAAACTTAAGGGTCGTTCAAGGCAATAGTCTCAAATACTTTCTTGGATGATAAGCTTTAACATGACAGATCACTGTGTATCAAAAAGTTCACTATATTATCTTACCTGTACCCAACTACAACTTCGAACAAAGAAAACAAGTTTCATTAAGAACAAAACGCCCCACAAATAATGAGAATTTTTGGGATTGGGTGGTTAGCAATCGTCGCTTTTACCCTACCTTTGTTGAAAACATTGGCGTTCTACTTTGATCCATTCATTGAGCATTTTCCTTGCTTCCTTTTCATTCTTCCACTTGCATCTAATCACAGAAAAGGGGCCTTCTACCCAGTGATTCTGTTAAACTCGTGTATTAATGCGCTTCAACAGCAGCTAAGGTCTTTTCAGATATCACCATTAAAAATATTAAAATACACCTCTTGGCTCTACTTGCTAGCTTGAGTAATTCCTGCAACTCACTAAATAATTTAGTTACAAAGATTGCATCAAATTAAAATTGAATTTGTTAAATGTTTTATACTATCCCCTAGATATAATAAGTACTTTCTATATATAGAAAGACTGAATTTCCGATAAATCACACAACTTTAATCACTGCAGATAGTTTTGGGTCCGCTGCACCACAGTGATCATGAAAACAGGTTTAAGTGGGCTTAAACAGTTGTTAGACGATTCGTAGATTCGTAGCAAAGGAATTGCAATATCAGTCTAATGTTGAGTAAGTCACAGTGATAAATACTACCAAATATTTTTGCATGCTTCATTTGTTCGTCTGGTTGAACTTCGCTTTTATCAATACGAAAATGGTTCCTCCATCTACTGATCGCTTAGAGCAGAAGACTTCACGAGTAAGTTACCAATTGTTTCCTACTATGTGGAGTAACATAATCTACTGGAGAATTGTGCAGACACTAAACAATAAATACTTTTAAATTTGGCAGAAAATCTTTAGACAATGAAGGAATAGTACTGTAGAGCATTTTGCCTTGTGGAAAGAAGGAATTAGACAAATAGATAATTTGGTTTTATTTTGGGAGATTCTTTATCGTGATAATATTGCAGAAATTTCTCTTGAGTTGAGGATGACTTGGTAACTCTTGCTAACAAGTCTCGGTTTAAAATGTCAGATTTCCAATAGTCTCTATGCCGAGTCAACCTTAATTCTTATTACTTTAACTAACGGTCCTTATACCCCAAGTCCACTTATTAACCTCAATACTACTTATCTTAACAGCCCTCATACCATACTTCCTTAACACTGCATTTACCATAATACAAATCCACATAAAATGTCTCAATAGACAACTTAAATTTACACATATACACCTGAGCTTATTCTTAGTTGGCAAATCACAAACTACCATCACTTACCTTTGACATATGGTATATCGATCTCGCCGTAGTGAGGCCCAGGCGACCCGTAACCAAGCATGTAGGACCCGTAGGACGCCACTCTCTCAAGCGCGGGAGACAGTGAGCTCATGGAGAAGAAAGCGTGGATACCTGCGACACACGGGAACACCTTAGTGATACTGAGAACAAGGACGAGGAGTGAGTCTACACGTTGGAGAAATAAGGGAAACAAGAGTAATGTTTTCCACTTCTAGGTTAAGTACCACCTGGTATAATTATACTATAAACTTACTACTGTTCTTGTGCTTTATTATTTCTACTTCTTTTTTAATTAGAATCTGAATCAAACAGCAATTTATTTAAGAGCATATATGAGTAAAATATATTAATGTAGCATAACACTGATTTTTGGTTTAAGCCCGAACGTTACCATTGTGAAAAACTGGTTCGCCCTCTGCAACAGAATTGCAGAAAAGTGAACGAAGAAATTGATGAGAGGAATGGCGTAGGGAGAAAGAGAGAGTAACTAGCAAGAAAATCCAGGAATATCGTAAGACTTGTCAGCTGTCGGGCGAGGTGGAGTGGAGGAAGGAGATGAGGGTTGCCAGAGGGGTAATGCCAGCCCATCGATCCCTCTGATTATTTTACTTCATTTATTACTTGGTGAGGAATCGCTGAGAAATTTTATCTCAATTGTATTAGTTACTGTTTTACCTGTTTTGTTTTGCTTTTTGTTATCTGTATGAGTGTTTATATAGTTACTGTCAAACACAGGAGGATATTTACTTCAAAATTTATTATTAGATTTAGTAGGTTTAACACTTTATTCGAGGGTATATTCCCCACGAATACGTCCGTATATTTAGTTTTCATTTCTTTCTGCTCTCTCTCTGCAATACAATTCATATTATTAAAAACGATGACATACTATAACCATATGAAGACTGCATATTTCTCAGGTTTTGTGGTTCTTTGTGTCGGAAACATGCCTTTGCTGTTAATTTCATTGTTTTCACTATCACTACGTCTTTTGTTGTCAAGTTCCATCAGCAAAAAACATGCAGCCACAATTTTTGTGTTTACGAAGTAAACTCGTTCATGTACATTTTTTCTGTACAACTATTTTTTTTTCGTTGCATATTCCACATTGACTGCGATCAGACATTATCCAAAGGCTGTATTGGACAATGAAACGCTATATGAAAACTACAATATAAGATTTAAAAAAAAAAAGAAATCATTGAATGAACCATATCCGGGAGATTTAGTTAACACGACGGTTCACCAAACTTTCTCCAGTCTTCCAGCGGACAGGTATGTCAACAGACTTTCACAAAAACTAGTTTAATACACAAGTGTGACTTTTTTCCATGGGAAAAGTCAGAATAATGGTAATTTAGTGTCAGATTTTCATCTCTTTCAGGAGTACCATAAAATTTCTTGACAAAATATACATATAAAATCACTGCAAAAAAAAAGCAATTAATACTTTGTAATGTTCGCATGTTAGAATAAAAGAAACCTACATAAGAATAACCCCAGCATAACGAAAATTAGTCACGTTGTTCAGCAAATATAAAAAGAAGCAAAGAAATACAAGTACTACAGTACGTCCCATAACGGTATCCATCAGCGAGTGAACGAACGCTAATGGGAGTCGCATGATCGCCACCACCGACCTTACAAAATAACTACTCTGAAAACAATAACTGTACTTATTGTATTTATCGCCACCAAAAGTGGCACTGCAGGGATGTCTCAAGATTAGAAAAATAGGAACAAAGCTAGACAGAAGTGCTCTGCTTATGCGAGTCTGGCACGTTTGGTAACCCACACGGATTTCACCAATGACCCCTGATTTCACTTTGTTTTGGTTTTATGTCTGATATATTACAGACAGAAGTAGCTAGCTTCCATCCAGAAAACCGAAGTGCTTTGTGCTTCGAATCCCCCATTATTAGCAATAAGAAAAATGGATAATGTTAGGATATCAGTAGGAAAGTGAAACTTCCGGGTCACGCTTAGGCGTGTGTGTGTGCGTACATTTCTTTCGAGATAGAGTCTATCGGATTCGGATAGACGACTTAAGGTGGCCGCACACTGGACACTTTCCTCCAAACATGTTGCCCGTTTTGCTGGCCGTTGCCCTAAACATCCAGCAAGCAGCAGGATTTCGGCTGTTGTTAGAAATGGACAGAGGTTTGGCGGGGATCTTTGCTGGCTGGATTAGTGTTCAAAGAAGCTTCATGATTATAATTTCAAGTAAAAATTGAAATAAATCATGAAACAATAATTTAAAATATAACACAAAAACGGCGACATTTCTATTTATTCGTCACTTTAAAACTTCTTCAGTATTATTAAATCATTACCAGGATCTTCTTTGACCAGCCAGCCGCCGCCGCTTTTAAAGAAACTTCACGACGCATCTCTTGTCTTTTCTTTAGCGTTTGAAGACGCCTCACTTGCTTCAGCAATTGAAGAACTATACCACATCCCTTCAAGGCCTCAACTGTAGTAACGAGATTCATGGCGTACCTCGTCTAGACGCTTTGTTGCTTATTTGCGTTGGGCAGACGCGCCAACAAAACATCCCAGTGTGACGCAAAACGTTTCTTCGTTTTGCTGGCCGGACCGTGTTTGTCAAACATGTTTGGAGGTACTGTACCGGGAGTGCCCAGTGTGCCGCCGCCTTTAGGCTGTGGGTTCAGTAGTGGAGGCACGGGTGCTTAAATCTTTTCCCGAATAATGTGGCATTTTTCATTATTTATCGACACACGGAATACACTTTAGAAGTTAATAATTTAATTATTATTTGCATTGGACGCTTTTGTTCCGACTGCGGAAAGTGTTTGCTTAAACCTGCGAGTTTTATGAAGCAGTAGATCATCAAAGTGAAAATGGTAATTTTCAACGTTGATCAATTTCATAAATACCTACGTGATATAATTCGACCTCGTTGACAAGTATCATAAACAGTGATTATGAAAACCCATTTTATTACAGTATATGGAATACAACAAGGATTGATTTTGTATATCATTGTGACGATGTATGGCAGGGGTTCTCAACCAGGGGGAATTTTCCCCCTCACGTTTTCAGTGGGGGGAAAACTGATACCAATATGGAAAAAATAAAGGATTTTCAGTATTATATGCATATTATTTGGAATGCACTTTTTGAGGCAGACGATCTTGGAAAGGAGGGGGGAATGACATTCTGACATATGGTGAAAGGGGTGCATGGGGCAAACAAGGTTGAGAACCACTGATGTATGGTGTATCGTCGGTAGACAACTGAATAAACAAAAATCTTCCAATGTAAGTTAACTAAATACTGTATCCATAAGAATGTTTTGGAGACTAATTAGGCGGGATTTATATATTAATTTCCTTAACAAGATCGTTACAGTTAAAAAAAAATACTCGTTTGCATTGATTGTCTAAATGCGCTGTCGACAGAGTTCAAGGGACAAATATTAGATGCAGAGCCTGGTGGTACAGTATAGAGTCTATAGACTATAAATTGAGCTACACTCTTACTGATATATATATATATATATATATATATATATATATATATATATATATATATATATATATATATATATATATATATATATATATATATATATATATATATATATATATATATATATATATATATATATATATATATATATATATATATATATATATATATATATATTATATATATATATATATATATATATAAATATATATATTATATATATTATGGGTATACATTTCCAGTCAATGTTACAACTGTAATGCTGTAGTCCAGGAAGAAGGATTGAAGCAAAATTTAGACTATATTAAACTGGTGGAAGCTATAGCTAATTTCACCAAGTGAAGATCATCTAAAAAAAAGAACTTACTTGGTGAAGCACAGAGAATCACAAGATAAACAATGATCATCCCTGAGAGTGGTAGTGTCTTCATGGTGCTCGTCTGTGTTCACTACCTGAAGCTGTAGATTTATCCTCGCGTCTCCCCGATATGAGTAACAAAGTGCGTTTTAAACATGTATAAAAATACGATGCTTCACCTCAACCGTAACATGGTACACAACGATGTTAATGAAGTAGAATTGAATATGAGAGGCTCTAATCACTATACAATCACTTATTTTTTCGTTCAAAAGGTTCTAATGTTCGGCAAACGACTATTTCAATATTATATGCAGTATACAAAACTTCCCACACCTCTGTCGTTACACTAACGGCTCGCGTCTGACTTTGGTGTGGACTGTGGAATAAGTAGGACGCGTCTCCTGACCGCCCAGGTTACCGCCCTGAGGGGGAGGGAGGGAGGGAGGGCTGGTAGGAAAGGGTAAATTTGACTGTAATCATAATTGGGCTTCAAAATAGCTTGCAAGTAGGGTTATTTTTCATATGAAGTTTTATATTATTAAGCAATAGTTAAGCTTTAAGGTGTAACATACGATACGATTTCTCTTTAATCATAGAAAATGTATCGAGGTAAGAGGAATACCTGTTAAAAATATCAATTACCTCGTAATATTCAGCTTGATGTGTAGTTATTTCCTCAGTGAAATCGATTCATAAACGTGGGCTCGAATTTATCTAATTACTATATAATGACTTTTGAAATATGTGTAAAACCTGATATTAAATACACGCACTGGCGGAACATGGCAACAGTCTATTAATGCGAGTTGAGTTTCTCCAACGGTGTGGGTTACCGCTGGCAACACGTATCACTCTCCGTCGGGATTTTTGCAGTTTTTGAGATAAGGCACACACTGATGAAAAAGTAGACCTTCTGATATTTCCAGTTTAGAGATAATTCTAGAAACTTCGCCTTTCCCTCGGAGCCTAAATCAACTTATATTAGATGATTCGGGTGTATTTCAGCAGGTGTTTAATCTTGTAATCTTATTCGCGTTTTAACTCGACAGTATATTCTGTACTAGCGCATCCATAGAAGAACGGTTGGCAGAAGGTTCAGCAACATTATCTTCCATTCAGGAATTACAGCGAGAAACTACGATAAAGCTGAAAAAGCAGTGAACTTTCTAGTGATCCACATAAAGTAATATTAATAAATATACTGTCTACACATTTTGCTTCAAAAGGAGTCTCTTTTAACTAATCTAGTAGAATTACTAAAAGATGGTGGTACTTTACAAACAACAATAGGCCCGTATTAACCAATAGGCCATTTGGGCCTTACGTTGTAGCAACATATATCCTAACAGGACAATGTCAGTCGCTTGCAATCAGCATATATGAATAAGGCTTATGGTGCTTGTAGACCTGTAGTCCATAAACTATTGTTGTGGTGTGGGGTATGGGTTGTTTGGGTTCGAGACTCAGGATGGGATGGAGAAAAGAAAGTCACAATGTGCTCTCTGTATACATGTTGTATTGGATGTACAATGCAGCTTGGTGCTGGGAAGTGGCAGCGTGGTTACAAGCGTGATGTAGAGAGAGCTGGTTGGTGAGGGTGCTCAGAGGAGGACCAGCTTGTGGGTCGCCATGCTCGCCGGCGGGAGCGAGGGCAGCCAGGCAGCGGCGGAGGAGGTGGTGTTGCTTGCTGCGGCTGTAGCTAGAAGAAGAGAGAGAGGTCACCACGAGGTCAGGTCTTAAATAGCGGAGGTAGGCGTGGCTTAGTAGTTGACCTCCGTGATGTATGGCGGCGCTGGTTGACCCAGACCACGAGACATACACTGGGGAATTCGTGGGGTCGGCTACTCAGCGACAAACAGCGTTTGTAGGGGAGAAATCCACTACAATACTCCCTCCTTCCCTCCAGGCGGTGTAGGAGACTTGTTGTCTGCAGGGTTGCATGGCACATGTGAGGCAGAACGGGCAGTGCATGCCACATGTGAGCCATAACGGCGATGGCGTGGATGAGCCGGCCGCTAGAGACAACTGTCTAGATACACAATATCTGTGGGAGTAGAGAGGGAGAAAAAGGGTGTGTGGAGGCGATGAATGTTGTGCTTCCCTCACGGCAGGTACAGAGTCGTCAGATGCGCCTGCTGGGGTGTGTGTGGGCCTGGGTCAGGAGCAGGGGCTGCGTCAGCAGAAGCGGATGAGGGCTCGTGACAGCAGCTGGGTCCACGACAGCAGCAGGGTGCAGGACAGTAGCAGGGAGGTACCTGAGGGAGAAAAGAGGGGTGTGTGGGTCTGCACTCAGGCGCATGGGCCGCATCGGGAATAGGGGCTGCATCAGGAGGAGCGGCAGGGGGTACTGCTGGGCCGGGGGCGGCGTCTGAGGCAGGACGGGTGTGCTGAGGTCGGTAGGACGTGGTGCTTGGGGCAGGAAGAGGAGCTGGTGTCTGCTTAGAGAAGCAGTGCTGCTCTAGGGCGTCTAACCTGCGGTGTAGAGACAGTAGCTGTAGAGCCGATGAGAGCTGCCTCTGCGTGGGTAAGCCAGTCTTCCATGTTGCTTGAAGACTGGGAGCGTGATCTGTTTCTCCTCCATCCTGTGTGAGTGCGAATCTCCGGGGGTCACCATTTGTGGGGTAATGGGATTGTTTGGGTTCACACTCAGGATGGGATGGAGAAAGGAAACTCACAATGTGCTCTCTGTATACATGTTGTATTGGATGTACAATGCAGCTTGGTGCTGGGAAGGCAGCATGGTTACAAGCGTGATGTAGAGAGAGCTGGTTGGTGAGGGTGCTCAGAGGAGGACAGCTTGTGGGTCGCCATGCTCGCCGGCGGGAGCGAGGGCCGCCAGGCAGCGGCGGAGGAGGTGGTGTAGCTTGCTGAGGCTGTAGCTAGAAGAAGAGAGTTGGTTGGTGAGGATGCTCAGAGGAGGACAGCTTGTGGGTCGCCATGCTCGCTGGCGGGAGCGAGGACCGCCAGGCATGCGGAGGAGGAGGTGTTGCTGGCTGGTTGGTGTAGGTAGAAAGAGAGCGATCACCACGAGGTCAGGTCTTAAATAGCGGGGGGTAGGCGTGGCTTAGTAGTTGACCTCCGTGATGTATGGCGGCGCTGGTTGACCCAGACCACGAGGCATACACTGGGGAATTCGCGGGGTCAGTGACGCAGCGACAAACAGCGTTTGTAGGGGAGAAATCCACTACAAGCCCACCGGGGCAAAGGTCACTGACCCACATCAGGGCCTGGGGGGCGAAAATATAATAATAATAATAATAATAATAATAATAATAATATTAATAATAATTATTATTATAAGTCATAAAAAAATAATAACAAAATACTAAAAAATAAAAAGAAATAAAAAAAAAAAAATTATAACCAAAAATAAATACAAAAACTGCAAAATAAATCAAGAATGAGAAACGATATACATTATCTATGTTGTGTTGTCAATAGTAAGAGAAACAATTGAGACCCTGCAATAGTGTGTAAATGAGACAGAAAGTCAGATCAGCAACCTGGGACTCGGTCACAATTTTTGTGATGCTATATGGCAGCAGGTTCCACCATTAGACAACACATTATGCTTCCAATATCTTCCCAGGCGGTAGTATCTCCCTGTTTGGTAGCTGCCTACTACCTAGTAGGTAAGTTAATAAATAATTTCGATTTTTTATTCTACTGTATGCATAATATTTAATTTAGCAAGAAACAACGTTTTTAAGCTTTAATTTTTCATGTCTGTTGGAATACAGCAGTTATCCAGTTTTCAATAATTGCTGTCTAAAGGTTAACTGAGTGGCCAAGAAAGACAGCCAACTTTAATTTCATTCAATGTTATTCATCCACAGTATCTTTATTTCTGCAAAAGATCTGTTCTTGTATTGTACTCCCCTTAAAAAATAAAGATTCAAATCTGGTTTAGCTGTTGCACTCACCCAAGCCACTATCACCCACCAACAGCATTCTCTTCCACCAAAAAATCACTTAAGACATACTGTATTGTATTCTCTGCTCATTTGCACATACTGCTTCTTCCTGGATGTTCATCCCTCATTTCTAGTCCACCCATCACTTAACCATTCTATCTATTTTATCTTTCACTCTCCCTTCTACTATCAGAGTTGTAAAGTAACGAAGTAAATTTACTTGAGTACTGTACTCAAGTAACATTTTTGGGTATTTTCTTTTTAAAAAATACTCAAAATTTTCAGTACCTTTACTTAAGTATGGTTTACTAATACTTTTATTCCAATACAAATGAATAAAAAAAAAATCGTTACTCGTTACATGCCCCAGACAATAGTTTTAAATATCCAATCACAGGACAAACTTGGAAGCTAACCAATCACAGGAGTTTCTTCACATCTAGACCAATCACGTGTTCTTTCATATATTTTCATCTATATACCCAAGTGATGAACAGAGTTTATGCGCCCAAGCCACCCTTTCCTTGTTTGGTGTTACGGAGGCAACAATCGTCCACAAACTCCACTACCTGCATCTCCTACTTGTGAGCGCCTGTTTAGTAATGCTGGGTTTATATTTAGGCCTAAAATATCCCAATTGGACAGACATCATTTTGAGAATCAGTTATTGGTTTATCTCAATAGAAATATTTACAAATAAACATGTGCAATGCTGTCTTTCATTTTTATATTAATTTAATTATTTTTTTATAATTTACTGTGGATTTATTTTAATATCCGAGATGATTAATAATTTTGTTGCTACATTTTACCTTCAGTACTCGAGTACTTTATGCATGATATACTTTTTTTTACTTCTACTTGAGTACATTGAAATTTGAAAGCTTTTACATCTAGTAGAGTAAAATTTTACCAATGTAACAACACTTTTACTTTAGTAACAAAGTCTGGTACTTTTTACAACTCTGTCTGCTATTCACCTTTGAATTAGAAACTTTAAATCAATCTTTCATTTCCCTTTCAATACCTATATATCCATATAACTGAGCAGACCCTCAACCACTCTCTGCCCAACACTTCTCACTTCCACATCTCTGCATTTTTTTATTATATGAATCCAATTTCTACCACATAAAATACATATCTAAAGACTTACAAAATACATAAAAATTTTTACATGCAGTATCTAATGTTCAAATGAAAAAATGAATGAACACAAATAATACTGTTCACTGAAATTAAAGCCAAGAAGAAATGAGAATCAGTTTATTTATAAATTATTTAATTCATTTACAATAATTTACAACCATACACACTGTTAATGAGATTGGTTTCTGAGCATTTAATACAATTATTTCTATTTTTACATTCTTACACAGCATATTTTTAATCCTTTTCACAGAAAGGTACTGACAACTCGGGATTTATTTTGGTCTAACATCAGGCGGGTTATTATTAAAAACACATCCCACAAAATATGTAATCAGTGAGGAAATACCTGAAGACTCTCCAAATTACCTGAAACATCAACACGGTATACAATCCCTTAGTCGTTGGATGCTGTCACTTACGTCCAGATTAGCAGAAAAAAAGAAAAAAAAAAAAGTGCTTCCAAAGACTAAGGGATTTAAACAGTACAACTAACAACCGTACTGTGGAATTTTTTTTTTATCAATGATTGTAGTAGATACATGTCAAAATTACTCAACAACATGAATTGTACATTACAAGCATAATTATAATATGATCACTGATTGCTACTTAATGATGATAGACTACTTAAAGAATTTGTCATACGTCCACCTCTGTTGGCCTCCATTACCAGAAATTACAAGTCCTTATTCATAAATGGTCTTCACTTCAGTCGTAGTCCTTTACCATATACTGTACAGCAAGACATTTGGAACTAGATATGAATGAAGGAACAGGGATTGAACTTTTATCACGGGATCAGCCATTGTGAGCCTTGGACAGGGCTATGATGCAGTTCAGCTCTCCTGTCTATAAAATACCAACTGAACTTAATATCATGGCTATCTCAAGCTCAGAATCGCTAAGCACGTCACATTTGGTGAACACAGATGGTGAATAGCAGTAACTGCAATGTACAATTTTTTTATGATTTTTTAAAGTCTCAATACAACAATTCAACATTGTTAAAAGTTTTTATTCCAAAAAATGTCTAGATGCATTGTCAGAAATATATTAAGTATTTCTCCTTCTTTAAAATTACATGAAAATACACTGCCATGGTGAAAAAGTTATGAAAATGAGAGGAGTATTAGGGGAAAGTAAGCAAGGCCTACAAGATGTCTGTATTCTGAAATACACTTCCAAGTAACTAATATTACAAACTTCCAATGGCTATTGTAACATCAGCTTATGAATGGCAGTTCAGTAATAACCATCAGTGCTATTTCAGAATACATGTGCAAAACTATTGAGAAGAAACTTGTGCTAGGTCAGTAAGTCTATATGGAGACACATGGGTAATTTGAACTCGATTTTGAAAGGGTGGTATGTCGTATACATAACAATTTAATGACAGCATTATCATATATAATATTCTATTATATTTTGGTTTTAATATATTACCATTTTTTACTCAAATATATTATTTTCATATCTTTAAAAAGCCTGTGTACAAATTTATAATGAACTGGACAATCTTTTAGAAATGTAGGAGCCAGCTTAAAAAATCTTTCTCAGCCACTTCACTTTTCAGTTACTCCTTTCAAAGGACTTTCTTTGTGAATGAGACTTAAAGAACCATGTACTATATATATTTGGAAAAATAGGCATAAACTACAGGTATAAATAAACATACAAGAAAATAGCATTATACACTGGGCAGAGGAGCATACAAACAAAGATGCTTACAAGTGACTGTAGATTCACATTCCTATTACTACATATAAATTAATACCTGAGGAAAGTGATACCAATATGTCAGAGCTGCAACCCAAAATATCAAGCCAAATTTGACACAACCTAAATTACTTGATGGTCTACCTGTTATCTTTGAGCCAGGAAAGACCCAAAAGATCAAGGGAAGTAAGAAATATCTCTCGGTATGGTTTCTCACTGCCATCCTGACTCCTCCTCGACCCTTAGTGATTAAATAAACAAACCTGGGCAAGACACTGGTGTACCACAACTTATAATTATAATATTGAAAATAATCAAGAGATCCTTTTACAGTAATCACAAAGTAACAGAAACCAAACATAAATGCATAACCAGGTATGAAAACATACGGAAATGTATAAATAGTGGGCAATACTGTTTGCTGGACTCTCCCATAATCGTTATGTACAATATTTCATTAATCATACATATAACTAATCTGGAGAAAAAAAAAAAAAAAAGACTGCTGGCTCCTAAAAAGTTAATATAACCCTCTGGAAGGGGAAAATATTGTTCCACTGTTTCTGACCCATCACACATTACTATGCTTATACAGTATAATGAATGGCCCACACAATATTCACTGTAACAGGAGCACAAAATGCAAGTAAAATTTATTAATTTGAAAATATTTTTTTATCTTTTGCCATTATAAAGCGGTTAAACAACCTTAATCAAATTCATATTACTGGGGTACATTACACAGCTACTTTGCATGTCCTGACAGGTGACTTGCTAAAATGGATACAATTAAGCCTTCCTTGTGCCAGTGATGAATAATATGTAATAAATAATGGCTGCAAGGATTTAAGATAATTTGAGTCACTACAGTGGTTTTCTGGTCTTAATGTATTGCATACCATCTTGGGTAAAAAACTGACCAGGTGATTTTCATGAATTTTTTCAACAATTATGTTCATTGCATACACCAAAAGTACAATTTGTTATCTGGAAACATGATTTGTTTTATCTAGTTGAAAATTTCTTTTTGATTAAAATCTTTTTACATTGCTCAAATTTACTCATATTCACCCAATAATGTCTCAGAGAGATACCAAAGAATACTTCAACTATGGAGAGGGATTGCTAAAAGATATGAAGATGATGTGGTTGAAGGTTTTGGAAGAAAAGAAGAGGCAATAAAATGCCAAAGGAATGGGAGGGAATTAAGATGAGGGATGTGGGGTGGTGATACAGAAATAAGCATATGAGTGTGAGATATACAAAGATGAGGAGTGGAAGAAAAAAGTAAAAGGTGGGATAAAAGAATAACAAGAGAAGAGAAGGTGCTGAAAGATGAAGTAAGCAGTAACTTTACAACTTTAGGTTGAATGAGACAGAAGAGCTCTAGAGCAAGAGGTAATATTTTAAATTCTGGCAGAGACAGAAGAAAAATGCTTTGTATTACAAAAAATAACTACAATGATGGGAGATATATTATGATCAAGAGATGGAAGTGACAGAGTTCAGAACAAGTGGTAGATAATACTGGGAGTGTAACACGACTGGCAACTCTGAGCACCAAGAGGGTACTTAAAAGTAGTTTACAGTACTTTACAATCAACATTCAGATATCGCACCTTATTCAAGTACCAACAATAGGAGTTCAAAGTTGTCTATAATGTCACATTTGTACCTTGTCTATAATCTTATTCATTGTGGATATGAAAGTAAAAATTACAAGTTGAGAGTATACATATCAACAATTTTGATAATGATTAATGACTATGTTGTTGTTGTTCATGAGTGTGAGTGAAGCATCAAAAAGAGACCATCACATAATACTACAAGAAGCCTAAACCTAGCAAGTCTGCATTGCTTTACACTTCAAAAAATCTTTCCAGAATACTTAGTAGCATAACTCAAATGTGTTTGAAAACATGATGAAACTAAGTGGCAGCCACCAACATGATATCAAGTGAATGTGAAAACTCAAAATAGTTGCTAACATCTGTACAAAACAAACTGATATTGTCTTGTGAAACACTAATGCATAGGGGCAGTAAGCACAATGTCAAATTCTAAATATTCTAAATAAATTAAAAACTGGCTGTATAATATATTTATAATTCTTTTTTTAAGTAATCTCTGATCAAGTATATTTCTTTTATCAAATTATCAAATCAAGGGTAACATTATAAAATCATTCATCTTTATTAATGGCAAAACATGGTTCAGTGAATTCATAATTAGCACCATTATAAAACCAACTTATTTCCTTATGTCAAATAAAAAATGGCAGTCAATATATTTATAATTTTTAAATTTCAAACACAGAGTATCTTAAAAGGTTAAAATTGAATTGCCAGTTCTGATGAAATCTATCATCAGGTTTAATAAAATACAGAAAAGGTCAAGGGGTCATGACACTGCTAATGATAAACACTCTAATGATTGTCAAAAAACTGTAGTAGTAAAATGCCATGGATCAATGAGATTCAAATAAATATTATGATTCATAAATTATCTTCGTTATATTAATTATCGACCAGGACAAGATATTAATTATTGACCAGGACAAGATATTAATTATTGACCAGCACATGATATGGAGTAAACAACACAGAAACACATAATGAATCTTTGGCCTTCCTCAAATCAGCCAATAAAAATAAAACCTCTCAGCTTACTAACCCTACGCTAGTAACGAGGATGTCAGGTAGCTTCTTCATTACCATAATAAAAATATTATGAGAAGTAGAAAGTTTGGATTCCTCAGAAAACACACAGGCCAACTTGAAGTGCAGCAGACATCATCACCTTGGTCCTCTACACTGAGATTCTAGTAGACATAAAAGCACAACAACACATCTTTCACTGCCTTAAACACAACCAAAACTTTCACTGTCTATTAACTTTAATCTTCCTTATAAATCCTAATTATTACTTTCATTGTACCTTTATGAAAGGTATTTTAGGTATACTATGGACACAGAACACACAGTGCACAATATATGCAATATTTAAGGTAAATGTATCATTTTAATTGCCAAATTAACTAAAAATGGAAAATTTCCTATTGTGCTTTATATGCAAAATGAAGCTTCCAACTACAACCACTACAACATTATCAGCATCTTAAAAATGTTGTTTATTAATAAAAAATAAATATCTGCAAAACCACTACATAATTCCAAACTGCCTAACTTACCCTCGTTTGAAAACCAAACACCTTCAAGACCTAACGAGCAGGTACTCTAAGTTCACCACAAAATGCTATATCATATATCTGACTGGCTACACTATCTGGTTTCCAACAAATTTATATGCAGTATGTAGAAATGCTTCTGTACCCAAGATACTGTACTGTAATAAATATTGATGTTTTAATATCTTTTATGTACTCACTGTGGTTGTTAGTTTGATGACATCAAGCAAACAGTTCTATGAATAGAAGTAAAATTTAAGTAAGAAGAAAATAAGTAAAATGTTGAAAGGGTGGCGGTCCAGCAAACAATTGTCATATATTTTGGTCCCTGAGCCAACATTATGAAAGTGTTAAGAGTCAGATGAAGAAAGCATAAATCTATATAGTATTGATAAAAATGGTTTTGATAACTTTAGTACTGTACTGACAATAATAAAATGATATTAAAATTATCAGAAAAATAACAACAAAGTTAAAATATATTAAAACGGGGTAAAACACAGGTTTGGAAGCTCCCTATATTCTGCAGGTCGGTGGGTGATGAACAGATGATAATACTGTAATAAGATAGTACTCTGTATTTGCTGTTCACTTCATATTTATTAATTATGATCTGGATATTCATCTCATCTAAGCAAGAAGTACACAATCTATAGATGTGTGGAATGGATAAGCTGATACTTTAGCACCTCTTTCCAAAGACCCACTTTGTCATCGACAGTTGTGAGACATAAATTTTTCACCTTTGTTTTAGGAAACCATCTTCCCACAGACCTGCTCAAATCTCACTACACTGTTTACCTGCAGCCCCACATTGCACCAGCTGAATGTCTCAATTTATGTACCATTGTCGTGGAATGATTACATCTGTCTCTATGATAGCTACTCACACCTCTACTACATGTGCAACAATGGTATTCATAAACAATCTATAAGACAGAACCCTTTCTGATTCATTTGATTTACATATTGCGCTGTAGCAAGCTAATCTCAACATTATGTTAGTGATCTTTCGGGGAGTTGTTTGCTTTCAACAGAGATGAAGAGAGCACAAACTATTAAAAAATATATATGCTTGAAATTGTTTGCTACAATGCAGCTTTCTGAGAGTTGCAAGAAAGAGAAGAGAAAAATGTATTACCATAACATGCACAAGAAGAAATGACATTGCACGAATTGTTATGAGGGGTAGAGAAATGTGACAACTGTTTAAGAATCAGCCATGATTGTTGTAAGAAACCATAATGGTAATAAGTACTGAGAATAATCTTAAGTGTCTATGATGAACATGTAAAAAAAGGGGTGACATAAGTGGTGCAGCACCACCTATAAGGGGAATGTTTGTGTGCAGACCACCATCAACATTTTTAACAGGCATTTCCTAGGAAAGATTGGATGGCGAGGATGGCAGTGTGTATGAAAGAAAAATAAAAGGGAAAACACCAATACAAAGAGAGAGAAAACAAGTATTAACAAACAAGACTAGAATATTATATTACATTCTGTGGTAAAAAGAACCACCAAGTACTTGAAAACATCAAAAATTTCCAAGTGTGAACCATGTATGAGTGTCGGGCCGAGCACCAACACATGAGCTGCACGGTCAAGCCGGGCTCTTGCCCAGCCAGGTGTCCCCCCACTCCCTGTCTGGTTGGCAGAGCTCACCAGAGTACAAAACATCACAGATAAATACAAAAAAAAAAAAGTCTCTTCAGCATGCACTTGTATCACACAAGAGACGAAATTTAAGCGTATAGGAGGGCCTGCTATGTAACTGCACTATTGCCTCTGTTCGTCTCTGTTTTTGTCATGGTTCACTAGCGCACACTAGTGAAGAGCTACATATCACACAAGAACAGATATTGTCTCACAATATCACTGCACGCTGGAGCAACACTTGTCTACCTATAACAAATTATGTAATTAATATTACAGAACAACCAAAATACATGGCCCCTCAGTCATCAAGAACTACACATAATAGAGATGGGCTCTTTGTGCCACTGTTGTACAATGGTCCATCTTGGGTTATGAGTGGGGTATCATTGGGCACCAGAACCTGAGCATTGGATGTGGCCACTGGGGGTATCATCTCCCCGATGTCTGTCACCCCAGTCATTGTCACATTGGCTCCACTGGTGGCCATGGCTATGCTGGACTTGGCCGAAGGTTCTACCTGGGTCACTCGCACTGTTCCACCACTGGTGGGAGGCCAGACACCAGCTGGACGTACTTTTACATAGTTGTTGTTGTTGTTATTGTTGTGGCACACGGGCCTATTGCTCCAGAAGGGTACGGCAACAGTTGCCACCTGAGGCAAGGGCGAGGGTTGCGTTGGTCCCCCCTGGAACCCTTCTGTTCCCCCTGGTGAGAGGTTTATGGGCAGGGCTGAAGAGGGTTGACCCCCTGCCCCAGGAGGTCAGGAGGGCTCTTTCTCTTGTTGCAGAACAAAGGTGGATCTTGCACCTGCTACTCCTGCCTGGCCAGACCCAAGCAATTTAAGAGAAAGGCCCCCTCCTCCACCACCAACTGACCCTCCTCCACCTTTACCCTGCACCTGTAGTCGATTTAGTACCTGGAAAGGACGAAAAAGACATTAATTAAATCAAAGCAGAAGTAAAATTTGGGTAAAAAAAAATAATTTACATATTTTCTCATCTTTTTAAACATGAATACAAAGTCCAAATTGGAGGACAATCATAAAATGCTTCACAAGATTATGTTACCAGAGGCCTTAACTAATGAACTGAACTTCAGTACAGAGTATGTATTGCACTTAATTATGTTAAGAACATACATATAAAGACTATGTATTGCACTTAATTATGTTAAGAACATACATATGAAGACTGCATAAATTCAAACCAATTTTATTTATATGACAGTAGCAATTCTGGTACTGTAAATTAAAAATCTGTAGCATTTTCATATTTCAATTTAATTTCCTGTATGAAAAATTCTACCAGTAAAGATTTGAAATATGTTATTATACACAATATTCCAAAAATGTAGGACTGATCCTGAAATATACTTTCTAACAAAGTTTGTAATCAGCCAAATCTTGTCAAGTAGAATGTTTATTGAAAAATTGGTGTGTCCAAACCATTCCCCATAATGTTACCCAAGGTATCTTAATCAAACTTCCTCGGAATCACACACATGATCTCATATGATGAGACTAAATGTGACAATTGCCCTCAAGAGAAATAAGTCTGTGTAATCAGAATACTTCTAACCAAAGTTATTGTCTGCTATCATGAATTTCATGATCAATTTGTCTTTTTTATATTAAATTCCAACTGATTATTCCACAAACCCAAGGGAGGATACCTGAGCTGAGCTATGGGTTTCCCTAGAAAACAGGATTTTAGGATTAATCCTTCATTTCTGCCTTGTGCCCATAAGCCAGGCAGCTATGAAATAGAAAATGTGAGAATCCTTTGCCATGGTTTCAAAAGCAAAATTGTAAGTACACTACAATGGAGAACAACAAACTATTGTACATTTGACTCTGATTTTTTTAAAGTAAAATTTCAGAAAAGCCAGAATTTTCCAGAAAATTCTGGCTTTTGGAACGATATTCTGAGAAAATTTCAATTCCGGCTATCGAAGAGTTCAGGTTAAGAAGGATTCTGGCTAACGGAGATATTACTATTAACATTACTTTTAGTTTAGGTCGGATAAAAATTTTGGTGGGTTGGCCCACAGAAAAATACCTAAATTGTAATGCAGCCATGACTGAGGAAAGGTTGCCCATGCTTGATGTAAATGATTTCAAATCCACAAAAATCAATCATCAATGTCTCAAAATGAAGGAATTAAGATTAAGAAGTCAATTATTGTGCTTGTTTTACACAACCTGGAAGTTATTTTTAAAGGTACTACAGTATATATTATTATTATATGCCATTTTGTAAATGTCAAAATACTGTTACGTAGAATGTCCCATTTAAGGGCCACGTCTTGTTTTCAAAGGGTAGAAAGGCAGGTCATTGTGAAACTGTCTCCAGGATCCCTTAAATGAGTACTGTGCAGGTGAGGACAGATGAAACACCTAATGAACTCAAGCTAAGGCAAATGAACCTCTGTCCCAGAGCAGGAGGATGAGGTACAACCAGAGAAAAACTATAATCTATACACTAAGAACCCCAGATCGCATTAAAATTAACCTGTACCGTCTAAAGCCAGAGAGTCACTAAGACCCAAAAAGAACCAAAAATTAAACTCATTTAATTGAGGGAGGGGCAGAAAATTGTATCCTCACCCACATGCACAGAAAGGATGGAAAATAATTGGAGGTGGTACTGGAAAAACTGAAGCATGAGAGGACACCATTTACTGCTGGCCAAAAAGGAATGACTAAACCTGTACTACAGTTCCATGAAAGAGTTTAAGCTTATCTATGACCTGCAACAAATGGGAAAGGTTTTAATCTGATCTCAGGAGTTCCAATCCAAGGAGAAAACATCCAGCACACCAGCAATATCCAGAAGGTTATGTGATACAAAATCTGGAAGCTTTTGAGTATCTATCATCTCGAAGAAATCCACCAAATAATCAACTCCATGAGAAGTAACCCAATACTTTAAAAGGATTCTCTATCTAATGTCCATTTAGATGGTAGCACGATATACCTAAACTTAGTATCCATTACAAAGTTCTATGTTCAAGCAAAAGATTTATTGATATGGAACATGATAATCAAAACAAAACATTAATACATCTCTCTCTATTTTCCACAAGGAAAACAAATGAAAGGACCCCTGTTTCTCAAGACAGAAAAATGCAATACAGTATAGGAACTACCATTGTACTAGTACAGAGGGTACTACTGTACTACTTTAGTACTATTACCAAAAACTGATCCCTATTGTTCTCAAGAGTATGCTCTGAGAACTAAGGAAAATAATGAAAATTTTGTAATTTGCTAATGTGTAAAAGCCCACCTCTGTTATGTCTAAAATTATTAAGTGAAAAGTTTGATGACGTTAAACAGACAATATTAGATGAAGATGTTCAGTATATAATTCTAAATATGATTAAAATTATCTAGTCCATCTGCTTACTTGATTAAATGTACAGTGGTTTAAACTGGTTATGTTTATATGAGAAATTTAAGCAGTAAATTCAAATATCAATCATCAATACTCTGTGTATTACTTACGCCTAAGTTCAAAGAAGACGAAAGGCTTACTTGTTGTACGTGATGGAGAGTGAGGCCAGTTGCTCCCCCGCTACCAGTAACAGCTGAGGTAAGATACGTAACCTGGCCAGGGGCTAGGCCGGCAGCGCTGCCACTTGTCACACCACTACCAACAGTATTGCTGCTCCCACCACCAACACTGCCTGAACCCACTGTATTTGTAACTCCACTGCCACTTACTGGAAAACAACAAAATTTGAAGTTAATATGTACACATACACACACAGAAGGCCTGGGCTCTATCCTTGTATACTAGTTCTAGTGCACTTAGCAATAATTAAGTACACTGTCAGGTGTGCTTACCATTGGTGGAAGAAGGTTTTGATGGACTACATCTTGTGAAGGGGATAGGGTGATAAACTAACTTCCGCATGTTATGAATTAGAAGATCAACAACTGTCCATCTACACACACACACACACACACACACACATACCAATATACATGCATGCATGAATACACACACTTGTGTACAGGAGCTATATGTGCATAACTTAGGATAAGCAAACAATTGAAAACAGCAGTACTGTACTAACGTGGACAAAAGTTCGCCCCTTCCCAAACTGAAGCAGTATCGACCAGCACAGCACACCCGCACCAGATAACAATCAGGGTAAGTCAGTTTGGAGATTCATTCCTGTGTCTCAGTTTCACTACAGGGAGCAAACTTTTGTCCACGATAGTACATAAAACATTAAATAAACCAAAAAGTGTTTGCATATTTAAAAAAATATGCAAGAAAAATTATTAAATACGTACAGTAAAGTTAACTTTAATAATAAAGCACAGAGTTGACTTGACGGTAGACTCACATTTTTCTAAATTTTATCGTCTTGTTTCTGATTATTTGTGAGAAGATTTTCCCATTATTATTTATTTGTATGTGTTTTGTGTGTGTGTGTCTACACACACACACACTGTTAGAACGACAATCAGTGCTTAGCGGTCAATGCTTACCTGACCTGACCGGACTGGACCAGACACGCCCAGTCCACCGTACACTCACCACCACCAACACTGGATGAGAAGCCAAGAAAGACTCCAAACTACTTCAGGAGAGAAATGAGGACTCCCTACTCCACCCAAGTGAGGAATTATGAATTTCTAACTTCATCACATGAGGAACAAGAACCATCTCCAACACCCTATGTGAGCTGAAGGACTACCTGGACCACGTGGTGGATATGCAGCTGTAGTGAGGTAGCGGATTAGCACCCAGGTACGACACAAAGGCCATCCAGACAGTGGGCGCCAACATCAGGTCACAAGAATGTCTACAAGACCAGCTCAAACAGTACCAGATCTATAGTTAATCTATATGTTGACTCTTTGTTTATTATATTTTCGTTTTGAAGGCTTTTGTCAATCAAGTGACCCACTCCCCAATTTCATCATATGTAACCTTTCACCTCTGTTCATTGTATATTTTCAGCCTTCGGGCTGCCATGTTATCTTAATAAACCGTTAATTATTATTATTATTATTATTACTATTACACACACACACAATACAGGTAAAAGAAATAATTGTCCTAAGGGCAAAAGCATACAGAGGAGGATGACAAGACAAATCCCAGGCATTAGGAACCTTGAGTATAGGGACAGATTAAAGCATCTGAATTTGCACTCCCTCGAGAGACGTAGAGTGAGGGGCAATATGATTGAGTGTATAAATGGAAGTCAGGGTTAAACAAAGGTGATATAACAATATAACAAAGGTACTTAAATTATCCAGCCAGGAATGAACTCTTAGCAATGGTTTTAAATTAGACAAATTTAGATTTAAGTGCGAGATAGGTAAACACTAGTTTGGAAATAGTGTAGTGGATAAGTGGAACAAGTTACCAAACATCATCATTAACTAGAATTCACTGGATAGCTTCAAATATAGGTTGGATGGATATATGAGTGATAGGAGTTGGGTGTAAACAGGACTGCTCAGTATGGGACAATAGGCCCACTGCAGTTTCCTCCATTCTTTTGTTCTTATGTATAATATGATTCTTACAAAAACATTAAATATCTTCCACAAAGGTCTTGGCTGTGACAGTCACCTCTGTAAGCACTTTCCTGACTGAGTTAAGAGAAAAAGTCTCTCCTGTCCTTGACCTGCTCATTTATGGACTCCTAACTGCAACCCCATTTCATGTATATCAAGTACACTGTACAGGTAGTCTTTGTTATATACTGGTTCAGCAACATAACTACATGCTGCAATCGGTTTACACTAAAATGAGATATTGTGGAAAGAAATAGAGGTATCTTACTGAGTTTACACTAGGAGAGAAAATGTAAAGAGAAAAAAGACTAAAACACACAAGTACACAAATAAGAACTGAAAAGCAAGTCAGGAGGCTGAGAGAATGCTGCCAAACACTCCACACCCAATTCTATCAGTAAAGTAGTCAATACAGGTGTAAGATAATACTTCATACAATAATTCTATCACATGCAAATTATTAAAGATACTTAAAGTAATCTTATTACTGGACTGGTACCAAGCTAATACTGTACATTTATGATATCCTTCACTCGCCTGTTACCAATGTTAGGTACTGTACTAATGCAATTTCAATCACAAGCTTGTCATTGTTTAAAATAATGCATATGATCTTACCATTAACATGTTGCCATCAATGACACTTCACACAACTGTATTATATAACACATATTTCTGCCACTAAAATACGGTAAAACAATCACAAGGCCACAAGCGCCGATTTTAAAAAAGTGAGAAACAAGCCCCAAATGTTTTTCGTTTGTTACTCCACAACCAATAAACACTGTTTGATGCCAAGGAATACATAACTTTTTTTTTAAGGTAATCAATAGAAGAATCAATGAAATACAGTTTCACCTGGATACAAGAATCCCGATGTAAACGTGAATGAAATAAAAGAAAAATAGAATGCCATTAGGGAAGCAATGCAACCATAGGACAAAAACGATGAATTCTCAAAACAGCCACCGGAATATCACCGTATATATCATGCAACAATAATACAGCCCAGTACTTATTTTTAAAGCAAGAATGCTCCAGATTAGAGGTACAGGAAAAAAAAAAAAGTTCCTAAAGTGAATGATTACCATCATTCAATAGAGCACAACTGAAGTAAATTAGCCCCAAAAATTTCACAAAGTCATTTACAAACTAAGAATCTCCCAAATATTTTCTATAGCCTATGAGGACTTACTAAATAAGCTAAAGACCGTTGCACTGCCAAATACCTCGGGGCAAAACATACCTACCTACTTATGACTAAGCTCAGTGGCAGGGATATAATACAGTACAGTACATACATAATTGTCAAATATATTACCTTATTTATTATTAAAGACAACACAGTACAGGTACTGTATTGTCTTTAATGGGGTCCAATCAGATTTGATATAGGCCCAACAAGAGCTAATAGGTACAAAATGACACTTCATGCAGAAACGTGCCGGAGGAGGGGGCGGGGATTGGCGAATTCGCCAGTTTGTCTTTATTTATTCATTATCATATTCTTGTATGATCAGCCTCTTATGGTGTATGTTTCATCATAAATAATATCACATACGGTATTAAATAATAGAAAAAAAAAAGATATATTATTTGTAATTTGACTTCAAAATAAAGAAACACACACGATATTTATTGCACATTCAAATACAAATTTAAGGGTTATTGGGAGTGCTAATGAGTGGCTGCTTAGAGCACAGTGGCCCCCCAGAACCCCCCCAAAAAAGTGGTAAATGTCTGGACAATTGGCAATTCAGACCCCCGTTCCCCCTCAAATTAATTAGGACGTTTGAGGGTTTACTGTATTTACCCATGGGTAATGAACACCCACTAGAGTTGGTCATGCCGAGGGAAGGAGGCCAGTAGCCAGGATAGGACCCCTCCATTGTTCTTGATATTTTTTTATTATTTTTTACTATTTTTTATTTTTTTATCCCCAGTAGTGTGCTATTCTTGATTCCACCGCTTGAGCTAATAGATATACTGTATATGCTTGATTGGATATATAGATTGAGCGTGCTTCATTTTATTTATTTATTTATTTATTTAGTTATTATTTATTTATTATTCAGTTATTCATTAAGGTTATATTGGGTTATAAAACTCATTTCCACAGAAAATGAGTACAGTATCACCTTTGGAAGGAGGAGTAAAAGAAACTTCCAAAAATGTGCCTCTGTACAGTGATGCAGATGGTGTTATAAATGGATGATGCATTCCTGGGGGCTGATCTTCAGACACCTTACACAACCAAAACTAAACCAAAATTAAATACAAGACATAATAAATAAATACAGAACATAAATAAATGTATAACGTATTTTACACCATATAAGACCCCCCATTTTAGCAGGGAGTACCTTTAGGATAAAACTGTTGTTTGAATTTTCCTCCTGTAACCATAGTTTTCTTAAAATAATATATACAGTACCGGTAAAGGTGAGGAATAAATAAAATACAGCTGCTCCTCGACTTACGACGGGGTTTGGGATCCAAATCCAGGTCGTAAGTCGAATTGGTCGTAAGTCGAAAATGCTTAAACAATACATAGAAAATCTAAAATGGGTGTCTCTTTTTCTTCTCAGCACTATAAAACTCTCACGTTTAAGCTTGCCAGCCATTTTAAAGTGAATTACAAGCGAAAATTTTGTCAGTACACAGCGCAATCACTAACGTTTGGACTAAAAGATACGTAATTTGACAAAATTTTGGTACGACTGAGGCGGTTGTAAGTCGAGTATGTCATAAGTCGAGGAGTAGCTGTAATACCGATAAATAAGTTTAAAAAAAAATACTATATTGCCAAACCAGTAAATAAAAGCCAAATGAAAGTTTAACAGCCGCCATATGCATATACAGTACTGTACTCCCTGCTTCACCATAGCAACTGAGACCAGCATGGACGCTACCTCTGCCGTCTCCCTAGCAATGCACCCCCCACCCTCCAACTATACTCTGCGCCCTCCTCCCCTCCCTCACTGAGCCAGCTAACTCGTGTGCAAAGAAATGTACTGTACTGTATATTCCTTTTATGTGTTTACCCTTAGGACAATCATTTCTCTTGCCCTTTTTCACAATACTGTATGTATGTAGGACGGTGTGTGCATGTAACTGAGTAAAAATACATTAAAAAAGTTACGTATATCTACCCGAATATACGAGTTGAAAAACAATCATAACACCTCACAGCTTGGCCCAGTAGCCTGGTGGTTACAGTGAAGAGTCTAACCTAGTTACAATGCCATTATTAATCACTATTCTATCAGTAAACACTAATATTAACAGTAAATTAAGTGAAATATGGCAGGAAGCGATGAGAGTTACAACTGCAGACGACACTCAACTAGTGGTCACTCACTCCCCTTAACTTCTCCCGTTGCCAGGCGTACGTACGGGAGAAATACATTTCTTGTGTAGTCTAATTTGAAAATGGTGACTGGCTCCCTGATTCTGCCCCAAGCAATAACGAACTAAAGTTTAAGTAGCTGTGTTCTTCCTATGGCCTCAGAGAGGAACAACCACTGCACCTGTTGCTTTTGACATAGATTTGGTGAGTACAGTACAGTAACACTATTTGTACTTTTATGTTTTTATCTTCAGTGTTTTGATGTGTTGCAATAATTTTGTCACAGAGCTCAGTACATTATTTTATAAGGGAAAAATTATTTCGATGAACGTAATCCATCTATTGACAGCGTTTTAGTGGAACCTTTCGTTCAACGGGTACTTGCTGTATACGGTTTACTTCAGTTTGATGGTTTAAAAAACTTCTTTGACAATTCTAGGTCAAAGCAATGCAGCTGTGAAATTTTGATAAAGATTGGATATCCTGATATTAATGTACTCGTAGTTTTCCTCAGAAACTCTTAACCCCCCCATCTCCGATAAAAAACTAAGAAATACAGTCAAGTAGAATACAGTATTTGCTATTCTATGTACTGTAAATATAGCTACTGCATCCAACTCTTATAATTTTAATAACATTTTTCACCATCCTGTAGATTCCCAAATTTCCAGCACCAACTGGAACCTACTTTAACAGAAACATCTTTTCACTTCTGAATACCGTACTAGCTATATATAAAATTTTCCAAAACTACTACCTACCAAAAAATAGAACAGAAAAGATAGGGGATTGGGGTGGTAATGTGAAACAATATATCAGAGGAAGAATATGGGGACCAACGCATACCAAGGGGCTTTGTAATGATAGGGTGGCATGATGGTTCTTCTGTCATGGCCATACCCTGGAGGAGTGAGGTGCTATAAACTATATACCCTGTAATACAGTATTTCCAAACCTACATGTACATAATGTGCTAAATAAACTTTTCCAAACTTCCCTTGCAGCTACATAGAGTACTTATACCACTTCATCCATTAATACAGTAAAGGTATCACCAGGTTAAAACACTCAATCCTTGTACCAAGTCCATCCATCATATAATAATAAAAGATATTACCCTGACTGGTTTCTCAGTTAGATACTGTATAGTACAGTTATACTTTAATTTTTATCATTATTTCTTGGTTCCTCCAAAGTAGATCTCTCTTTAACCCTAAAAGGGCAGGTATGATTTTGGTGTTCTGTCTGCCCAGGACGGGGTTTATTTCGCTAAGTAGAAAACAGAACAAATCGCATTAGATAATATTGTTCAAATACATGTAGTATATGCCTTAATTGAGATAATTAAATTTTTTGCACCAATAGAGAACTGAATCTTTTTCTACAAATTAATATTTGGTCAATAAATGCGAGAAATAATAATTTCTTTGATAAATCACGAGGTGAACTGGGAGTACATGTTTATCCGGCTCTGGAGTGAGCCACCAGTGTCAATATAGTAACCACACAACAACACAGCCACGAGCACACCCAAACAATGGCATGAAATCCCAAACATCATAATGATGTCCGCCACCCAGTAAGCGACTTCCTCTCATACATCATATGATATCCGCTGCCCTTTAGGGTTAACTTTTTCATACGCCCTAGACTGTTTTCTGTAGTGCTGCTTCTTATGAAAAAATTAATTAATGTATACATACTGCATACAGTAACTTAAATTACTACCATTTTCCTAAATATGGCAAGATGTTTTTTTTTCACAAGAAAAGTCAGGTTGGAAGCATTATTAATCAAACACTGCACTGATACAAATAATGTGCTTGAGTAAATCCCCAGCTTGCAGTCACAGCATGAATCAACTAGTGTTCACCCAGTCAGGGTCATTTCCACTCTCAAAATTGCCCTTAAATCCACTAAATGTACCACTTTTCAAGATGTCTATATGCTCAACAAACTGCTTCTCCTTCCAGTTCAAGTGAGAAAAAGAGGAGAAAGCCATTTAATTTACAAATGAGTGTTAAAACTTAAGATGAATGTGACTGTGAAGTGCACCATCAGTTGTGGTACACTGACACAGTACAGTCTCTCCTTGACTTACGACATATTCAGCTTACGAAAACCTGGACATACGACGGCCATTCATATAAAATATTTTTCACATTACCCGGAATGTCTTTTCAAGTCCTGACATTAGTGATCGCGCTGTGTACTGACAAAATTTTCGTTTGTAATTCCCTTTAAAATGACTGGCAAGCGTAAAAGTGAGAGCTCTTGTGGTGCTGAGAAGAAAAAGAGACACTAATTTTAGAATTTCTATGTATTACTTTCGCCTTTTCGACTTATGGCCTGGTCGTCGTGACGGAACCCCATCGTAAGTCAAGGAGAGACTGTATATGAAATCATGATTAACAGCATTGAATTGAAGGCTGACAAAGTCCAAACAACATTTGCACAGCCATCCACATACAAGACCATCCAGATTTTAAGCCTGCCACTATACCAAAAAATGGAGGATGCTCTGAACATTTGGATATCAAGCATGCCTTGATGTACAACTGCAATGAGTGGTCTAATGGTTCAGGCTGAGGCAATGGAAATTCAAGCTCATTTGCCTGAGAGAGATGAGAAGCCAGCTAGACAACAAATTCACAGCACGTCAAAGCAGACTTCAAAGCTTCATTAAATGTGTATAACTGTTATCCAGTATTATAATGCCAATTCTGTGGATGGCTAATTCTTTGGACAATTCTCTTGATTTTTCCATTGAGTAACAAAATTTTATATTTCTTGTGTGATTAGTAAGTACAGTACAGTAAATAAATGTTTTAAGCGTTGTTTACTTAATTTTTTGAGCCTCTGGTCGTTAGCCCCTTCTTTTATACTGAACTACTGTACATGCATCTTTATAGCAATTCTTTGTTCCATGAAAATTTTTGGTCCCTACTTGGCAAAATAACCCTGGGTTACTGTATAAAACAAAATCAGATGCAGTGTCAGGAAAAAAAATCACCCATTAAATTCCTTAATGAAACCAAACACCTTTGAAGACATTTTGAACCCACAAACATTATCAATTATCCACCTATCAATATTTTGAGCGGGAATTTTCATGCCTCTTAAAATCCCGAATTTTCCGTAGCTATTTAGAATCAAAAGGTTTAAGAAGAATGTTTTCTTTTGGGTTCTTAAGTAGTGAAATCGCTTTGTTGTATGTACAGTATATGAGGTGCATATGACCAGATTGGACAAAGCACCACTGGTAAAAATCAAGATTTATTTACAATAGGATAGGGAAACCACCTCTGTATCCTGGGAGAGACTCGGTTACTCAGAATGGAAGTGGCAATATAGATGATTTTGGTATTAAGTAAGACTACCCACACATCACTATGTGTGGGGCAGGTGGTGAGGGAGGCAGATAACAGAGAGGAAAGTGCCAGAGGTCTCCATTTTTTTCTGGAGCTTTGTCCACTCTGGTTGTACACACTTTATACAATATAACTGCCTTCAACACTATCAATACAAGATAAAACACTGTGATGACTTGTTCTACAGAGAACTTGCCTTCATTGAAATGATGGTTGAATGTGGCAAAACTTAAACTTTTCAATTATCATTAAATGTTAAAAGACTTTTGAAGGAAAATCTGAAATGTTTACCGAAAAATTCTATCTGATACTTTTACTGTCACATAAAAGTGCCACGTCATATTGTTCTTACATTAAAAAAAAGTAGGGAAAGGCATTGGTGGTCTCAATACACACTCTCTTCTAGGACTTCACAAAATAAAAAAGAAAATAAGATATCATTTCAAAAAGCAATACAAAGTCAAGATATTGTCTTACCTTTGGCATTATTTGTGACCAATCTTGATGCATCCCCGAAAGTACTGCTGTGAAGTTCTAATCGAATACTCCCAGAACCATCACTTTTGAACGATTTAGCTAAAGCGTCAGATATCACTATTCCACTCGGTAAGCCAGACCCAAGAAAAATGTTCGGGTTATCACTGCTCCCTGGCCGTGTGTCCGTCACTGGTGCGTCTCTCCCAAAATTGGTGGGCGTGGATGGGTTTATTCGAATAGGCTGAGTAGTTGAGTTTCTCACTCCTGCAATTGCTACATTACTTAAGGTTATAGTCTGATTGTTCGACAAGCCATTTTGCAAACTGACAACAACAGGAATGTGGTTCTTGTTCCCACTGGCGTCAAGTTGCAATACATTTCCCACAATATTGATAGCACCGTCAGTTGTTTTCACTTTTTTATTTTTATTTTTGGCACTAGTAATGGGAGTCGCATTATTTTTCAAGGTTTCAGATTGAGTGGGTCGTTTAAGTGTTGCTGCCATTGCACTGCTATTCACAATACCCATGCTGTTGCCAACATGGATGTGGCCATTGTACCCTGTGCTCACACTTATGCCGTCCTTGCTGCCAGACCCTGAGGGGACAGTCAGCTGCAACTTTTTAGCTAGCAGGGGTTTGACATTCACAAATCTCTCTTGAGTACCACCAATATTTAAAGTATTGCTGATGCTAGAGTCAGTGAGTACTGAGCCTGGATGGGGCTTCTTCAGAGCATTACGGAATGCACTACGTAATAAATCCGCCCGATGATCCGAGGCCAAGTAACCACCTAGTCTTCTACAGTTGTACGAACACGTCTGAAATATATCATAGATGTATTATCTGGCACCAGGAACCTATTACATGTATCTTCTTATTGAATAGAATTCTATATACTGAATGTGAAAAATAAAATATAATTTCACAATTTACAAAATTTTCAGCACACTATGAAACTTAAATGTTACACAGCACAGCTACTCTTAAAGAGACAATACAAGTTCACATACAGAAAAGTTATGTGATTCTTTAACACTAACAACCAACACTATTTCACAAAATAAAGTTACTTATTAATCTACAATTAATACAGTTGTTATAACACTATTAATAAAAATACTAAACTGTTAATTATTAAATACACCATATGAAAACACGTAAGTAACTCACAGCAAGAGGCTTGGGCGGCTCTCGAACATAAAAATTATCTGCAGGTACGAGGGCCGGAGGAATCCTAGAAGTAGGCGGCCAATATGCAGGAGAGGGGGGCGTGGCATGGGTGTGCGACGGGGTGCTGGGGGGATCCATTGGATGATGTAGGGGTGGGTTGGGAGAAGGGTCACCCGGAGTCACTAATGTGGACGCGGTGCCCCCCAAAGATTTAACCAGGAGTGGGGATGTTGCTGCAGCCCCCCCTACCACCATCCCTCCGCTGCCAGTGGTGGCCATGACCGGGCCACGGGGTGGGGTGCCCTGCAACACACAGTTACATGCCAACCAACACAACACACAACACAAACTGACAAACAATCTCTCAACGAATAGAGAGATTGCTGTTTTTGACATGAAAAATAATCAGTATTAATATGAGAAGTATTTCTGCAACGACACTTCCTATCTGTGAATTGCAGAGGAAATAACCTATTAAGACAAAAAATTTATAAACAGTGAAAATTAGACATAAGAATTTCTTACCCCAATGATACAAAACTAGTGAGCACCATCATCAAAACATGTCCAATGCATTCTGTATTAGCAGAGGGATGATAAGGCAACAAATTTGATAGGTACAATGCATAGATGGCTCATTACAGCATCAAACAGTGAGCACACCAGGCAGGATGGGCACTATGAGGGAGATGAAATGCTCTCAACTTACCTGTATGAGGCCTGCAGCTGCATCTGGTGGCTTTGCAGCTCTGGTTTGAGCTTCCTTAGCTGCTCGGTGCTCTAAGAGGAGATCATCAAATTTTTTAGATCGTCCTGGGACAGCCCGTCGCAGAGAAAGAGAATGTGCTTTGCAGGTGAGGGAACGTGTGCAGGGCTTGGCAGTCTCTGCCACCAATACGCCACAGTGAACCTCAGGGTCGTATTCTCTATCTTTGAGAGGTAAGAGTTTTCTTTCACCAGGTTTTTTCTTTTTGCTAGATTTCTTAGGTGATGGCGTGGGAGGGGCAGGAGTTAGAGCAGAGGACCCAGAAGAAGTGTGTTGGGTTGGTGTATGTGTTGGAGTGTGAGCAGGGGTATGAGTAGGCGTATGAGACGGGGTATGTGCCTGAGTTGACGTAGCAGATACCGGAGACACCAGCTGAGGCCCTCCTGTTGATACCACTGGTTTCTTTAATGTGGCAGCTAAAGTAGGCATGGAGAGTGAGGGCTGAGATGCAATAGTACTAATAGTTGGCTGTGCCCCACCTCCTATGACCACTGTGATGCCTTGACTTGAGGTTCCTAAGGTGGGCGCAGCACTGATGGAGTTGCCAGTAGGGGCTGGCGGTGCACCTAAGGAGGGGGACGGTGTTGGGGTGGGTGTTGGCTGTTGCAACAGACCTGCCAGCTGTGACTCCAGTCCAGTGTTCCCACCATGACATAACTGAGTTATCGAATTCACTGCATTTGTTAATTCATCACATTGAGATGATATTTTTTCTATTTCATCAAAACTAAATGATTCAACAGGTACTTCAATTAGATCAGACTGAGTACTGTTTGTGTATTGCCCCTGTACATCAGCTGTCACTCCCTCAAGATTGTGTGCACAAGCATCAGCTTCAGACAAAACCTCATTTGTAATCTGCTCTAGAACGGGCATTGATAACTGTTCACTATTGTACCGCTGAGGTAACACCTTCTCAATACTTAATTCTGGGGGTTCAGTAGTTTCAACGTAATTATTAGTATTTACAGTTTGTTGGTCAATATACGTCAAGTTACCACTCTCATTCAAGTAGCACTGAGAATTATTGGGAAGAACTGTCTGTGTTAGGTCCGAAGTTTCAGGCGTGGCGTTGAGCACGGCATTGAGGTCTGACTCACTCACCGTGGCCAACAAGTCTGCTTGAATCTGGTTCAGTGTAGCTATGGACATGTGACTCATTGGCACTGGCACAGAGCCCATGGTCTGACTGTTTACCATCATCCCTTGCCTGCCCCCAAGATTAGTGCCATTGGTGGTCACACTGCCAGCAGCCTGACCTTGTGCCTCCACTATGTCGTGAGATCCAACCAGTCCTGCATCCATATCCATACTGGAACTTGCTATAAGATTTTGAGAGGCAGTAAGAGCTTCTGCTTCTGCCTGGAGCATTGCTGATATTTTGTTGACCTCCTCTTCCACACTGGACACAGTCTGGGTTAGCATAGAAACTCCAACAACAGAAGTTCCAGCCATGCTAGCTGGAGGTGCACTGAGGGTCACCATCCCCTGATGAGTTACACTTGGGCAAGATACAATGGGTGGCCCTACACTTGGAGGTCCTACACTTGGTGGGCCAATGCTTGGAGGTCCAACACTTGGAGGTCCAGCACTTGGAGGACCTATGCTAGGAGGTCCAATGGTGGGCGGAGGCCCTGAATGTGTTGGAGGGTGTGGTATTGTGTGCTGCGGAGGCTCAGGTGGGGCTGGAGGTGGCAAGGTTGTTGGCAAAGATTGTGGTGGAGGCACCAAATCTAAGCAACTGTCTAAACAATCTTCTGTCTTCACCTCGGTCTTCAAAGAAGACACCGACAAACTACCAGGAGATGGTAACATCTCACATCTTGGGGATCCTGGCAGTCCCCCAACTCGACTACTGCTGCTGATGCTGGTGCTGCTTATACTGTTACTGCTGCTGTTAGTGCCAGGCTCACTAACAACATGAGAGGTGTGGTTTCCCTCTAATGAGTCTCTGCTGTCAATTCGTCCTTCAAGTTTTACAACAGGATTAATATTATGAGTTCGATTTCTGGTCTTGGGAGTTTTGCTGCTTGATGACACAGATGCTCGAGCTCCTCCAGAGGACTTGACAGGAGTGGCCACTCCTCCATGCCGGAGCTCTACAGGGTAAGGAAAATACAAGAATAGATTTTGCTTGCAACCTTCTTTGGAAAGAAAGGAATATAGGAGGAAACTACATTCTGTAAATTGAACACTCAACCACCTAAATCCTAAACAGAAGTCATTTATATTTTAGGAATCACCATCCTAACTTATGCAAATGCAGCATGAACACATTGGCTTCAGTGTCTCATTACTGACCAGGTTGCCAAACCCTTTTATAAAAAAACTGAGGTACTGTATGTGGTCTCCTGTAAATGAGGGTGAAGTAGGAGGATCTGAAGAGTAATGTTAGCAGCTTAAGAGTGGTTTCCTAGACACAGCATCTCAGTTGTGTGGATACAAGAGAACAGGCATGGAAAACAAGAAGAGTGAGTAGTGGAATGAAAGTCTGACAGAGCTCTTGAAGAGAAGAAAAGGGTATACAAAAATCATTTGAAATAAGGAGTGATGAAAGAAAGAGGAATACAGTAAAGAAAACAGTGGAGTGCAAAAGAAGACCAGATGAATGATGTGGAGAAAAGTTCTCACAGGGGCTTCAAGAGAACACATCATCAGTGTCTTTCATATCAAATAAATATCTCATGATATAGTTTTTGGGTTTCTACTGTTGTGTACAGTACATTTACACATTCTTCTATAACTAGTGCACATAATAAAATTCATTCTGCACTGTGATGTAAAAAATTAGAGGAACCTTGGTACCTAACACCTTAAGGAACACTAAAAATAATTGGGTTGTATACACAGTATTCACATTATTCTCCAATGCCCTGAACTCGTACTGTACAGTCATCCCTTGGTTATCACGCCTAATTGGGACCACGCCGAGTGCGTGATAACAAAAAATGTGATAACAAAAGTACAGAACCTATGGAATTTATTCTAATTGGTTCCAGGCACCCAAGACTCAACCCCAAGTTTCCCATTTTATGACCATTTAGACCCACTATATATATATATATATATATATATATATATATATATATATCTATATCTATATCTATATATATATCTATATATATATATATATATATATATATATATATATATATATATATATATATATATATATATATATATATATATATATATATATATATATATATATATATATATATATATATATATATATATATATATATATATATATATATATATATATATATATATATATATATACTGTATATATATATATATATATAATGTTATGGTAAATATCAGAAACACACATTGGCATGGTTAGGTTTATTACAGAGTGATGAAAAGGGGACGCTCAATACTGTAATCCACAAAACATGTAGCTATGCTCTCTTTATTTGAGTCCCCGATCATAGGAATCCGTTTTCTCTCGCTGCAGGACGCCTGAGTCCTCCGTTTTCTCTCAATCTTAGAGTGCACCAGAGACTCCGTTATTCCTTAGTAATGACACAGAATTTGAAATTGCAACCCCAATTGCAACTGGGGTTGCAATTGTTGAGGCAACTAGATAGGTCTGATTACAGCAAATGTGTTATTGTCAATTTGTAGGTGAAAGATTTTATCCTCAATAGAGGCAAATGCGTGATAACCAAATTCTCGGCCTGAAAAATATGCTATAACGGCAGGGGTGCAGATTTTGATGGAGGCGTGATAACGAAAATCGCGATAACCAAGTGCGTTATAACCAAGGGATGACTATACAGTTGTTCTATATTACCTACATAATGCTTTATAGACTAGAATAATGTACAAGGTTTTTCACTGTTACCTATATGTTGCTTGAGTGCCTGTGGTTTTATAGCATGTCCACACATGTTACACACCACCAGGTAAAAGTCTTCCCAGCGTGGACAATATCCATATATGGACATTTCTGAAAAACAAATGAGAAATGCATCAAAGACTTTTAACACCAAAGATAATGATAAAAATAATAATTAGGTAATATTTATATCAACTTTCAAAATTCCACTCTTATTGTTCATATTCCAGCATCAAATTCATTTAATTACAACTACCATAAGGAATGAATCATCCAACATTCCTCTTGAAAAGTCACACCCCTTTCCTACAGATTCCAAAGATGGCAAATATTGTGAATTGTAAGTCAATGGTGCCAACAGTGAATATGGGGTTACATTCTAGGGTCCAAAAATATTAACCTAAGGGATTACTTTCCTGAGTCCCAAAATATTACTCTAAAATTAATTTAAACTCTAAAATATAACTACAACAGTACTTTCATTCAATATTTTAATTAAATCTTCCTGAAAAAGAAAACATGATTTGAAACTGGGTTGTGATATAAAATGAAATCAAAACAATGTACTGAAAAAAAGAAAGAAAGAAAGAAAAGGAACCCTCCAATAATACCATATTGCCTCCTAGTACAAATTATTCATACAGTGGGGCATCAATAAATCAAGAACGGATTGTTAAGGTGAAGAGCCACCTTCTAGTGGATGCCCTAGAGAACTGAACTGTAAATAACCACCACCTATCACCCCACACAACCACCTGGCAACACTTGGTGAGAAATACAGTATCACTAATACAGCATATTGAAATATTGTGTTGGTGAAATGTGTTACTGTACACATAATATCACAGTATAGAAACTATTTACAGATATTAAAATATTCAAATCTAGTGTATTGAGGAACATATATTTCTGTTTTTTGGTAATTTTCATCCAGTGTTTTGGTTCAGTGGTCTGGGTTGTGTTTAATTTAGGGAGAAGAGGTATGGCTGGCTTCTGCACCAGTGTCTTTCCCTTAGTGAGGGGAATGCACGAGAAGTTGCTGGAGTGAGAAAAAAATACTAAGAATGAGTCAAAATCATCCCTCATAATATCTAAATTTACTTTTTTCTTTCCCCAGGAATGTATTCTCCATTTATAACACTACCTACAGTAATTTTGTGGGAAAATCGCTTTCACTGTTTGAATTTTCTCTTCAGGTATGACTTCCACAGAACACATCTATCTCTTTTGCATAGCAAGCACTGTCTTTACATAAAAATAAGCAAATGACAAGACAGTCTTGTACAGGGGTTAAGGGTAAACCTTTTTATCAAACCCAAAATACAGTAAGACAGACCTCGCCCAGTGCTAGGGTTATGTTGTTGAAGAATGATACATTTTGTGAATTTGTGTTGGGTGAGCTTCAGAACATATGGGGAACACTGTATAGGAAGTAGAACATTTGTCTTCATATGACCTTACAAAAATATAAGCATTGTACAAGTTATATGTTACTAAAAACATTTATATGAGTTACTGATTAATATAAACAATGTACATACTCTTAGACATACATATGATATTATTTCTGTGGAGTTGAAATTCATGCATGTGCTTGTGTTAAGTTGTTTTGAAAAGTGGGATTGCGTTGTGGATATCCCTAGAGCCCTGGGCTATACGTTTAACATCATTTTTGTTGTTTCAAAATTTTTTCTTTCATTAAAATTAATTATAAAAAAGCTTCATTGGATATAAATCTCGAAATTTTTAATAAATTTTGACGATTTAATATTTTTTTTCATTACAAGTAGTAAATCTCAATGTTAACATTACAGAGTATTTCTGATTTTTCCCTCTTTCACTGATTTTCAGTTTCACTCACAAAACATCTCAAAAGCTTCAAACAAATATCGATGTTGAACATCACATCTGAAATATTCATACAGTATATCTAATTGATTAATTTTTTGTTTCATAAAAAAATATAGCTGCCAAAGTTAATTTCAGTGTTTAACACAACGTCTGACCAACCTCACCCAGCAGGCCTAATTAACCCCATCACTACAAGATGACACTTTTATATTTTATTTGCCTAACACCAGAAAATTCTATTCAGCACTGAGGCCCCATACATGAAGCGTTAAGCAAAATAGTCATTCAACTCACGTGTCTTCTATTTTCTTTCTATTTAAATAAAGAAAGATTATATAAAAATTAATGAATGAATATCATAAACACTGAGAGATTGTAACAGAAAAAAGGTGATATTGTAGTGAGACTGTAGGTGACAGATAAGAGTCATCACTGCGAGTAGAAGTATTACATTTACTTTTCCCACTGTAGCAATTTCATGGCTAAGTTCAACCAGTCTACTGCATGGAACTGGATGCAATTATTTTATTTTCATATAATAATTATTAACTTAATGTTTGTTGATTCCACATGTAACAAGAGCTCATTAAATGTTAAAGTCTCCCACAGTCTGTTTTTCAAAGTTGGTGTGAACTGGAATACTGTTCGTATAGTACACTAACAACAAGCTTACACTATACAGAACAGTACATGCATTATCTGAAGAGTCTTTAGATGAACTTAAAATTTTTCCAACCAGTTTTAAATAATGAAATTGGTTTATCAAAGCTTAAAGTTGTAAGTAAACAGATACCAGAAGATAAGAAGTGTAATGATGTAAATATATACAGTACTACATACCATAACCTTATTCTTGCATTACTGTACTGTCTACAGGTATGCAGTACAGTACGTAATCTGTTTATTAAGGAGATGGACATATGAGAATCCTGTCTTTATGTGTTCTTACTATTTAATACACAACTCGTCTCTACTGTTCACAGTCTCTTATCAATCCGATGGCATAATCCTCTTATAAACCGTGCTCCTAAATTAAAAAAAAAAACTGACATAATTTATCTCTCCTTTGGTCATCCCCCCCCCTTTATCATCAGCTGCATTACTGTACTGGTGCACATTTTGTGATTACTTATCATCTATTACACAAGTCCACACACACTCAAGAAATTTTCATCCACACAAGACGAACTACAATCATCCATGTAAATATAACTGTGAAAAAAAGAAGTAAGAATTATTATTTACAATGCCCCCCACTATTTTAGCTATCTTAATCCATCCTCATTCACCAAAAATATGCACCAGTTGGTCTGCCATATTCACACACTTGTTACTCGACTCTTATAGACATCTGCATTTTATCCCTTTTGTACCATTTTCAACCTCCTCTCCCCCTCAACCTCATTTCCTCCCTCCTCCTTATTTACACTATACTGTACTGCATATAAATTCTTCATCTACTGCAATCTGAGAGCTCTATAGAATAAGTAGTATGGCATCGCAGCATGATTACCACCTCAAATATGACCCATTAATTACTATGATAGCACTGCCAGAGTGAGTTTGTTCATAAAGTAGGAACACATATTGAGGTAAGTGGTAAATACAACCATATAAGAAGGTAAGAGATCACCATTAACTCTAGTGTATTCAAGACCACAGCCAACTTCATATTAAATCAACCCAATGGAATTGAGTTTAATAAAGGACTGTTACTCTTATTGAATTCCAATCATAATAAATACAGTACTGTAAATCAATAAAATAAAGATATGCAAAAATGTACAGTACAGAATCTAACAATCAGAATAATTTATGACATGTCACTGTAGATAAGATGTAGCCTTGGCTCCTTGGCTATCAATCCTTTTCCGAACTTCCCTCATTTGGGTGACATTTTTTTAACATTGGAATTATGAAGGAAGCGATCAGAAAATTGTTTTCACTAAACATATTCACCAAGGTGTGCCACTGTCAAAGAATGAAGGCTGTTAAAGCAAGATTTATTAATTGTTGGAGGTTGTATAATAATAATAATAATAATAATAAAACTGGCATGAAGTTCCACAGATCTAGTATGGCACATAATCAATTTTAGCTGGTAGAAGCTCAGCAAACCGAAATATTGCTGGAAAAGGCATGCGAATATGCACGCTCCTGGAAGGTGAAGTAAGTAATATTGGTTTGCTGTGATGTAGCCAACACACAATGATCATAGAGTGTATGTACTAGCATGGTGGTTATAGTCAGAGCCTTCACTCTTAAGTGGTAACTGATGCTCCATAATACACATAAATCTTTCTGGGATCTAATTTCTGAAGTAGTTACTTATTGTAATTTAGCTCCAGTCATACATCAGGCATACTATGATTTGGACTTTCAAGCGATTAGATTGTTGAGCATACTTGAGTCACCCAGGATGTGCACAGGACAACAGTATAAGGTATTCCCCTGATAACTTTTAATATCCTTGACATACCTAAGAATAGTGAAAGCAATCGGCAATGAGAATAAAGATGTACTGTTAAAAATTACATGTGAACTCTAAGCTTCAGGGCCCCTGAATAAGGTTGATCCATCATTACTCTAATTTAAACTCTCACATAATCAAGTACCCTGTAGATTCCAAGTTAACTCCTTCACCTGCAATGTAAGCTAAAAACCCCACTACAACTTCATCAATGACACACATTCTATAACCATGGTGACACTATATGAATGTCCCATTATTTCCATCCTAAACCCTATCCTAAGTTTCAGCTCCTCCTAACACAAGAACATCTCTTTCTAAACAAACACTTAATAATTCTAAATGTTTCACTACCTCCCTATTTTATTCATTATCAATATCCTATAAAAACTATTCCCATCAATTCTAGAATAAGGTTTCAATATAACAAAAAGTTGTATGTACAATTTTCCAATATTTCCAGGTAAATATTGACACAAGTATGCCACCCTATTTAGTCCGGCAGCTTCAATGGTTCGTTACGGTGTCATAGCTCACCAACTTAAATGTTTCCTTACAGTTAACTAAAACCCAAAACTGTACAGTGCTCTTTTTAATATTTCTCTATATCAAGATCACAGTCTATCATTCTTTCCTATTAAGTGTACAGCTTTATTACATTCAAAAGCTTTTCCAATATTTCTTTAATCTCCTAGAGACATCAACAATGGATAACAACATCACATCTGTATCAGTTTCTCATTCTAGATTCTTACATACCTTCTCCACATCTAAATACTTGGTTGTATCA